ATGCTATAATATTGAATAAACGTATTTGTTTCAAGCCGTTCTTCTCAGGTGGTAAGAAGAGAATTTGCCAAATGCTTTTTATTATAAATAAAATGGAAAGAGTCAGCTGAGAAAAATTGAGAACAGCATTTTTTTTTACCTTTTTTTCGAAAGATTAATAGGTTTGCTCTGGTTTTCTTCGATTGCTTAGCAGAGCTTGCATCTGTTGACATCAATAATCTCCTGAACTTCAAAAAATACACAAAGTGGTTTCAGCATTTGAAAACGTAAAGGGAATCTTCATCACAGTACCAACATAGGTATAATCACGAGATCCTGTTTGCCTAACAAACTGACTATAATTTTCAAAAGCGTTTTTATTTTTAATTGACTTAAGCGAGTTTTAGCGTAATTATGAGGTTTTTGTAATAAAATTGCACTGCTCTAGAATTGTGAGACTCGGTTGCGTTCAAATGTAGATATAGGAAATCCAGTCAGCTCCTCATCTTTCTGAATTCGAAAATAAATTTTGCTGAGCGAATCTCTTTCCTTTCTCATACCTTCCTACAATTTTCTAAAGTTGTAATACTTCAATCATGAAATGCGTATACTCGATGTAGATCAATAGTTTCCAACAGTTATGAAAATTAATTTTAATAAAGAAATAAAATTAAATTTCCTATTTGCGGTCGTCTTTCGGCAGGGAAAGTCCAACCTTCTGAGTGTATTTCGGACATGAAATAAAGGCTCCGCGTAAAAAAACATCAGCCGTTCGAAGGCAGCTTAGTATAAACTGAGGCAAGACGCATAGCCACAAATTAGAGGAGGAGCTCGGCCGAAAAATCGCTTCAGCGGTGACAAAGCGCCAATTTTATATATATTCATAAGTTATTGTATATGGCTATGCCTAGATTATTGTTGTGTAGATAAAATTGTAGTTTCCTTGTTTTTCTAGACTTTGTACACGTATATTAAAATGTAATATTTTGATCGCTTTTATTATTTGGAATGTTATTTAATATGCTGTCAAATATACTGTTTAGTTTGTCGACTGCATCTCGTATGTCATTAAATAGCTCTATTGTGTTGTGGTTTGACCTCTCTTTGTTATTTGTTGCTTTATTCAAATTTTTGAATGTACCTTGTGATTCCTTGATCTTTTGTGATTCAATTGCATTTTCTTTTGTGTTGATTTGTTTTATGGCCTCTCTCGATTCTTTCATAGTGTTAGCTGCATTTAGTTCTTCCCTTCGTATGTTGTTACTTCTAAAAACGGTAGTATGTTGTGTATTTACATACACATAAGACGCTGTTTGGTTCTGGGTTTCCTATATTTGTTATCTTTTTGTGGGCTTGGCTATACGTGCTGTTTCTCAAGGTCATCGTTCTTTTGATGACGTATGGCTTTACCCCTGCCGGGCAGTGCTTGGCCGTTGGTTCATGCTCGCATTTGCAGTTTACGCAGACCATTTTTCAGCAGGGTTCCGTTTCGAGATGCGTTTGCATTTGATAACTCTTTCTTTGCAGTGTTACGAGAAATGATTGTACCAAAAACATTTGTAGCATTGGGTTAGCGCTATGAATGGTTTTGCTTGTGTTTTTGTGTGTGCATATATTACACATTCTGCGAGTTGCTGTCGTATGCTATTTATATTTGTTTTTGCGACGAGCAGGTAAACACTACAATATTGTTCAACAGTTCACTAGCGAGTGTATTGGATTAATTTGCGTTAGCTGATGGTCATTCGTGTATTAAAATAAAATGTGTGAAAAGGAAATTGAGTCAATATACAGTGGATCACAGCCAAAGTGATGCAGCTATGTAAGAAATAGTATAATTATATAATTTTTCCAAAAAACATAAATGCCCGTTAATAGCGGCGTATTTCATTTATCCTTTAAAATATATTCATTTATATATATTTTATGTAATTAAAAACAAAAACAAACCATTATTAAATTGTATGCATGCAGTAACAAAAAAATGAATAAATTCCATCTTTTTTTTTAAAGAACATAAATTAAAATATACAATTTTTAAAGCATGAATGAAATGTGTATATCTGCACTTATCAACTGGCATTTATGTTTTTTGGGAAATTTATTTAAATTTTAGGTAAAACTTATACAATTTCTCACAAAGCTGCATCACTACCACTATATCTAGACCAATCCTATTCTACGGGGTCACCGTCTGATGGCCAACACTCGATAAAATCACCTTCAGGAGCACATTAGAGAGAGTTCCACGATCGGCGTCCATCCGGATAACGGGAGCATTGCTATCAACTCCCTCGAAAGCACTAACTCATCTCAATACAAGCGGGTTGCAACGCTATAAGATTAAATGCAACTCAACCTTGGAAGAACTGCAGTGTAGGACATACAAAAATATTATCTCTTACTGCTATCTTGGAGCGTTCGGCGTAGCGTTTACTTACGCCAGTGAATGGCAATGCGCGCTATCCCAAAATAATAGCGCTAAGGTTTTGGCGTTCAAGTTCGAATTACTTTAAGAACATTTAATAAATTAATTGCATTTATTTCAAACAAGATAATACGAACTTAATTGGTCGGCAAAAGTGCGCCTTCTCTTGTTGAATAAACTTTTCAGTGAATATTTACCATTTTATTTTAAAGTACATTTTAGTTGTCAAATTTTTCTTCAATCAGGGACATTCCAGGCGATAGCATGGCAGATCAACTAGCAAGGGCAGCAACCCTTCTATCTACTGTAAAACACGCACATGATTCTGGCTTACCTTTGTCCACGGCTAAGCACACGCTTAAACTGGCCTTCACCAGGGAAGCTGACTCACGATGGTTGAACGAGGTCACGTGTAACGTGAACAGACAGCTGTGGCCGAAGTTGGACGGGAAAAATCTAAACATCTTATAGCAACAATGAAATGACGAATGCTCAAATATTTACTATTTCTTATCGAAGCTTCAACGAGCAAACATTTACATAAATAAATATATGACGTTCTGCTTGCTCTACCGAGAACATGCAGAGGTATAGGCTATAAAAACTAAATCACAGATTCAGCTGGTGTCCTAATGTATTTAAAATATGATAAATGATATTGAATACGAGGATGCTGCATGTGAGCTAGGCGAAGAATTAAGTCGAACGGACTACAGTTAGCGTCAAAAGAAAGTGTATACCTTTTTCCTTATACATTTCTCTAACTATTAAAATTTAAAATTAAATTTTTTTAAATTAATTATCATTTACAAATGACTAAATATTGTTTTTACAAGAAATAAACAACAATCCAAAGAAAACTTTGTAAGGACCAAAACAATACATACAAAACCAAATATACTCAGTATTTTACGTGTCAAAATAAAGTGTACAGTTTGGGAATAATTAAGAAATTCTTAAGCTAATACTTTGTATGTAATGTTTTTCTGACAAACACTTAATTTTTGTTTCGCCCAACTTTAGTAATCTTTTTTATCCCGAAAACTTCGAACTTGCATTCGGCAGAAAAAATTACATTATTCCAAAACGATTTGTCCTTAGTTTTATATTTTTCTGCAAATTCCATCGCCGCTTTTGGTTCTGCGCTGAGATGTGAGGTTTTTTCCTCGTTACCCGGCCATACTGACCATTAGAATGCAATACTCATCTGATCGTGCTGGCACTAACATTCAGTCTGGATGTTCTGGACATTTCTTCCGTTAATTTGACGGCACTCACAGATGGATCTATCTTCGCAGCTCTCACAACTAACCGTATTTCAATATTATTAAGCCGTTTTTGTCGATCTTCTATTTCACCAAACTTTTTTCGCTTATCAATGACTTTTTTACTACATTATGACTTCATCCAATTATTGCAATTTCACGTTAAGATTTTTCTTCCTTCTGAAAATTTACCACTTTGTTGTTTGTTTTTTTGTACGAAAAATATCATTTCACTATACTCTGCGATACGAGCGACAACTGTTCTGATCGTACACCTATGGGTTGAAAAACTTTCATCAAATGTACTCTAATGCGAATATAAGAAACGCCCAAATTTAAATATGTTATATAATATAATTATTTGCAGCAAAATATTTATTTTAATTTATTGATAAATATTATTTTAGTATGTAAAAGTGTTTCTTCTTTGCTGTGTGATATTGCAATCGTTACACTTACTTATCGGAGATGCACCCCATGGCCTGTTTTCGGTACTACTAGCTACTCTCCATTCTTGTTATGTGTGATTCAAAGTGATAACGTGAAATTCTACGTTTTGAAAGATTTTAAATTAATCGTTTTTATTGCCTTTCCAAACTTTTCGAGGTGATGCTATCGAGAATTTCTCCTTTTATACATGAAAATTAAATAAATAATATCCATCAATTGGTTTTGACGTAAAACAAGGCAAAATGAAATAAGTAAATCGCACAATTAATGAAATAAAAAAAGCTTCTGAATTCATGATGGTCTAAGTAATAAAATTAAAAAAAGAACATTACCTAACACATTGCACCAGGTCCTTGAATCCTATTTATCTAACAAACGATTCACTGTAAAAGTAAGTACATAACAAAAGGGTATCCATAATAAAATTAAAAAAAAAGAGCATTACCTAACACATTACACCAGGTCCTTGAATCCTATTTATCTAACAAACGATTCACTGTAAAAGTAAGTACATAACAAAAGGGTATCCAATTACCGCAGGTGTTAGATACGAGCTTAACTTGAAAACGGGCACCCACCCACCTATCCCATTCCAAAGTCAATGAATTAAACTTTGGAAAAGGTGAATTTTTATTTTTTTTAACACATTTTGCCCAAAATAGAAAAATATTTAATAAAATAAATACTAAAACGTAATAGTACTCTGTCTCTTTCAATGTTTCAAATATAAAAAGACCAAAAAAATGCACTTTAATCAAAAAATTAACAAAAATTTTAAATGGGCCGGACCAGCACCGGCTTCGCATTGCACAGTATTCTTAAGTGAAACTCCTTTGTTAGTTGGCAGTTCCAACCGCTGACAGTTAGCTCTACCTCTTCATTAATTAAAGTGTACATTCGAAGTCATGTCATATAAAATATATGAAAAATTCATAAATAATATTGGAAAAATTTTATTTTGTACGCAAAACATTTACATCAGTGAAAAAGCTACATATGTGTATAAATTACCCAGGATGGCTGCTAAAAACCGTTTCCTAGGATGTAGAGGTATGTATGAATGCATGTAAAGACAACTGCGGACAAGTTTATATGTACATACAAATGTGCAAAACTTAAAAGTTTTGACATTTCAAATAATTAAATTGGATTTTGTGTATTCAATGTTTTTTTAAAATGTGTGCTTGACCTACAATCTACATAAGGAGAATTAAATCCCAAAAGTGGTACAAACCGACTTTCCAGCTATGTGTGTTGGTTTTACGTCTCTAATATTCGTGTTCTGAAATCAAAACAAACACCAAGTAAGATAATTTCATCATGTGGAGTAAACCACCAATAAATATTAGTTATTTAGGTATTCACTTCTCGTGAAGTAGACAATTCTTCATGCTTGCAGAATAACCTAAGAAACTATCTCATCTTTCCAACAAAGGTCTTTCTAATCCTCCGCATCCATCAAAACTAAATTTATTTCACTGATGCGGAAAACATGGCCAAGCTGACGTAGTTTCTGAATTTTCCATTGTTTTATATCGAAAACTCATAGTGCCGACTCATTGGATGTTGCTTTCTTTCTAAGCAGAAGGAGTATACAGAGCGGCGAGTTTCGCACAACGTAGTTACCTTAGGGGTACATTTTCGGAAAATCCTTTCTTATCGAATAAATACGTCTTGTGGAATGCATCCTCCAAGAATTAGATCTCTGCGACAAGCGGCTTAGGCTATGCGTAGATCGTAGTTTTTGAACCATCCTAGCAACCTTCCGCTGAGGGGAAATTATTGTAACTTCAGCACCTATTTCAACTTCACTGGCCTAGTTGTTACATACTGGGAAATATAATGTATATAAAATAATTTTTTTCCACATCTATCGGGTGTATTTTTAGGCATATTTTATTGCATATAGTGCACATACTTATGCATGGATGAACATAACAGCCAGCAAGTCAAATAAGTTGATATCGTTATAGAATAATTTTAGGCGTCAGTTTTTGGTTCCTTTTACCTGTACAGTTGTGTATATAAAAATGGATATATATATTTAGAGATGCTCAACAAACGAAACGACGTCATTGAAAAAAAACTTAACAAATGATTTTCCTTCATTTCGACGGCATGTTATCGAATTGTTAATGTTGAAACCGCACATAAACAGCGTTAACCCTACTTTTAAAACGGCGGCTTGCTATTATTTAACAGCACGGTTTAACTTTAACATTTAATATTATATGTTTGCGCTTTAACGATAGTATTTCGTTTCGGGTAAAAACGAAAAGAAATTTATTTTGATAACTGCTTTAACGACAATACTTCCAAAGGTTTCTACCGAATCGATCGCAATTTTCTGATTAACGTGAAATTTATGGTTAAGATGAACGCTTGAAATATTGAACGCATTTATGCACCAAGCCACTCATCAGATGTCGTCATTTTCCACAACAAAAGTGATGATTATTTAGGCTGACATTGTTGTTGCCGTTGATGCTTGTTCCTGGTTAAACGAAATGGTATACTTGGGAAGTCTCACGCTCTTGTAAAATGTTGTAACTTCTATAATATTCAGATTCTCCTACTTTTTATAGATTGGGCAGAAATACTTAAGTTGCAATCGTCGGGCATGCTTTCATAAGAGTAAATTCTCCAAAATATATGGTGCATGATCGTTAGCTCTTTGCAGCCATATTTGTAAAGCTCAGAAGGTAAGCTGAAGTGGGTAATTGCTATTTGACCTTTATCATAGCCAGATAATGAAACATCTGTGTTTTCGTCATCGATTGGGAAATCTGGTTTGCTCTCTGCTGGTATTTTAGTGTCAGCCAGCATCTCATCTTATCAACGCATTTAAGCGTCTTGCTTTTCCTATCTGGAAATGCGTCTCGCATCCCGTTTGACTATCTGTTATGATTGTAGCTTTTAGAAGTCCCTCCTTGCTGTACAGTTGCGACCACAAGATAGTTGGAGTCTACATATGTAAGGTTTTCGGTGCGTATGCAGTTCTAAAACTCTTCAGACCTGCCGTTCATCTAACACAATAACATCAATCAGTTTGCGGGTTTTTCAATCAGCCATTTAGCTGTAATAATATTCTTATTCTGGAAATCGGTACTACAGACAACAATATTTGGAAATTCTTTGACATCGGTGATGTCGACCTTTGTGTCTAACGGGGACTTCAATCAGCCAATTAAGGGACAGAACATTTCATGTGCTTATGCTCAAATTGTCCGGTAAATCTATTCGGTGGCTGAGATGCATTGGCTTAGTTTCCTTGCGTTTAAATTGGGTATAGACTTTTAATTGTAACTGAGCCCCATTGAACAGTTGACTTCCTGTTAAAAACTTCCTGCAAGTGAACCTCATTGCATTACTGTTTATAAAGGAAATAACCAGTACCAGTATTTTTATATTGTAAAGAATATGAAGAGCTATAAATATTATTTTTATGTTTTACAAAATTTACAAAAAAGGAATTTTTTGATAAATGATATTGTGATATAGGGCCTTTCTATGAAAATGTAGCGAGAATTTGTATACAAATTTAACATAGTAAGTATGCAATTATTGGAAGCAAGTATTTACACGAATACAAACGTGAATATAATCAGATACAGCATCAAATTGACCTCTACTGCTCAGAATACGATTCTCCCTCTGACTTTTGTGATGCAAAATAATACGCGCATCGTGCTTGTCGCTCGATGCTAGAAAATTGAGAACCTCAAATTTGAATTTATCAACTTGAAATGGCGCACTTAAGCTAGATTCATTCAGTATGATATATTCCCGCGACAAGTAAAGCCAGAGAACGGTGAAGGCAAGTGCGGTACAATAACATACAAATATAGATACAATTATAGTGTCATTGTGAAGTGTTCGCGCTTGCAGAAACCCCAGCGAACTGTATTTTACTGATTTAATCTTGACTTAGTTTTTAATTAAATTTTTAGGTATTTGATAGACGAAATTAGTCCATTTATGGAGGTTGTGAATCTTATTAATTTATACATGTGTATATAACCATATGTACCTGTAGACGTACATATGTATATCGGCTATCGGAAGCTTGCAACATATATTATCTTCAATAAAAAAAAACTTCATTACAAAATTTAGTTTCGCCAGACTTTTAGGCAATGAGAAAAGGCTTTCATTTGAGCTCAATGAGGATTATCTCTGTGAAACCATACCGTTCACCGCGAATACACATTGCCAGCAATCGACATGAGCAATTTCGTTTTAGTTTCAAACGCAAACTTCGTCTTGGTATCAATGAACGTACTGGGCGCTTGCAATGGTGCCCCGGTGTAACATGTAGTAAACTTTTAATTATTCTTCCAGCGGTGTTGCTGCCAATAACACTTGCGCTGATTCTACTTTTGCGTATGGACAATATGTTAACAGCACTTCAGTTACATGAAGCCGAAAAATTTCAAAACCAACACCTACCACAACAAAAATATTCCTCTAATCTTGATTCACATTACACTTACGGTTCCTTGTCTGATAACAGAGATGTGCTTGGGGATATTGTTAACGAACACTTTATATTACCAATGGATGTAATGAACATAAAAGAATTAAATGAAAGAGAACGCCTTAAACGATGCATTTCCTTTAAATATGGTCTAAGCGAAACACTAGAACTAGAGGAACGTGATATTATGAAAGATGCGCGTACATCTTTCTTACCGCAAGATACAACATCAATACCAAGTGAATGTCAAGGTAAATTAAGTTCAGTTAAACTTGAATCTAATTTTGTAAATAATTTGCTTGAGCAAATGCTGCGACGTTCCCGCCGCACCTCCGATAACACATCAAATAACGGCAAATTCAATTTCAACACTCGTGAAACTGCAAACGAACAGAATTCATTTAGTGGAGAAGACGCACAACTTTTTGGCTCCACTTCGGCATTACAAACATTTTGGAATGAGGAAGGCACAAAAGAAACTATACGTGCAGCACAAGCTAAAACAATGAAAAAATATATAGATAGTCGCATCAATCCGTGCTCAGATTTCTATAAATATGCCTGTGGAAATTGGGAGCGTTTGCATCCCATTCCAAAAGATAAAGCTGGTTTTGACACTTTCGAAATGTTACGGGAAAACTTAGATGTCGTATTACGAGAACTGTTAGAATCCAAAGAATCTTCAGAAACAACTTTAGATCAAAAGAAAGTTGTAAATATCAAAAACAACAATTATGGTCATGATTCTCATGCCCATGCAGATATTATTAAATCTACTAGATCTGTATCTAGTGCAGCTGTGGTAGATAAAAGAGGTTCAAAATCATTGGATCAGTTAGAAAAGCAACTGCAAGTAAAATCTTCGAAACTCCGTCGACATATCATACAACGAAGACATGCTTTAAGTGTAGTACTGCGACGCTACAAACGCCAAAAGGCCGCAGCAAATAAAAGGAAACGTATAAATAAAGACGTGAGTCTCGGCGATATTTCGCTTGAGGATGGTAACAGCTCAGAATATATAGATTCAAACGAAGCGCCAATAAAAGCAAAATACCTCTATCAATCCTGTATAAATACAAAGCTTCTAGGTAAGCGTGGGATTAAACCTCTCTTAAAATTGATTGATAGTCTTGGAGGTTGGCCTGTACTAAATCCTAGTTGGAATCCCCAACACTTTGATTGGTTAAATTTAACTGCACAACTTCGACGATATAACAACGATATACTCATCGTAGAATGGGTAGGCCCAGATATTAAAAACTCAGACGAAAATATCATACAGTTTGACCAGACTAGTCTAGGACTGCCGACACGTGAATATTATCTTCAAGATATGAACGCACGTTATTTGATGGCTTACCAGTTATTTATGTCTGAAATAATGCAAAAATTAGGGGCATCTCGTGATCGAGCTATCAAAACGGCCACAGATGTTGTGGGTTTCGAAACACGTCTCGCATCAATAACAGCACCTGCTGAGCAACGTTTGAATGTCACTAAATTGTACAATCGCATGACGTTAAATCAATTGCATAAAGCGGTACCAGAGATTAATTGGTTGCGCTACCTTAGTATCCTACAAGATCGAAATGTACGAGACTCTGAAGAGGTTGTCATTTATGCTTTAGAATATATGAACGATCTTGTTGGTTTATTACGTACAAGTGATCCTACAACTATATCAAATTATTTACTTTGGCGTTTTGTACGACATCGTATTAATAATGTTGACGATCGTTTCGAGGATACTAAACAAAAATTTTATCACTCCTTATTTGGGCGAGAAGAGAGTCCGCAAAGGTGGAAGGTTTGTATTGCACAAGTAAATACCAATATGGGTATGGCTTTAGGGTCAATGTTTGTTCGCAAATATTTTGACGAAAATAGCAAAAGGGATACACTTAAAATGACACACGAACTGCAGCAAGCTTTCCGCGAAATACTAAAGAGCACAGATTGGCTGGATTTGAGTACAAAGCATTTAGCCGAAATTAAAGTCAACGCAATGTCGCTGAAAATTGGATATCCCGATTTTATATTAAACCCAAAAGAACTCAACGAAAAATATGCAGGCATACAGATACATCCGGAAAAGTATTTTGAAAATACTCTACATGTGCTATTGCACACGGCCAAAACAGAACAGAATAAGATACAGGAGACTGTAAATAAGACGGCGTGGCAGACAGCGCCAGCAATTGTGAATGCTTATTACAGCCGAAACAAGAATCAAATTATGTTTCCTGCTGGTATACTGCAACCACCCTTTTACCACCGTCATTTCCCGCGTTCGCTAAATTTTGGTGGAATTGGTGTTGTAATTGGGCATGAGCTCACCCATGGGTTTGACGATAAAGGCCGGCTTTTCGACCGCAATGGTAGCATACACAAGTGGTGGACAGATTCCTCAATCAAAGGATTTGACGAACGAGCGCGTTGTATAATAGCCCAATATAGCAACTATACCGTAGGGGAAGTTGGCATATCCCTAAATGGGGAGAGTACCCAAGGTGAGTGTAAAATGAATTTATTTGCGTTCCCATAGCTATCGGAAACTACTAATCTAGTATAATTATGGAAAAGTGATTGTAACTAATATAAACTACGATCAAGCTATCATAGTGTTTCATACATAGGCGGCTACCCAAAATAGGCTACACATCTATTTAGTTTTTATTATTTTAAGTGGTATATATCGGCTATAGTTTTTGACCAAAATTCAGTTTCTACCATTACCCTTCACCTTTTCTCAGACCACAGTTATATTACCAATACATTTTCAGGAAAGGGATATATGTAGATAAACAATATAGGATCGGATAAGAGTCCAACATTCCAAAAAACTTTTCTCAAATCAAAAGGAGTTATTAGAGAAATACTTGTTAATAAATTGATATTATATAATATATTGGTGGCTGAGCTAAGTTAAAATAGCAGATATGAATGAAAATGGATCTAGTAAACATCAGCTTTTGAAACACATATGTATGTATCTAATATTTTATATTTATAGGTGAAAATATCGCTGATAATGGGGGCTTACGTCAAGCTTTCCATGCCTACAAATCATGGTTGAGGAACAATCCACAGGCTGCAGCCGATGAACGTCTCCCCGGAATAGAAATGACTGGCGAACAGCTTTTCTTTCTCAACTTTGGACAAGTATGGTGTGGTGCCATGCGGCCTGAAGCTGTGCGAAATAAGCTAAATACAGCTATACATAGTCCTGGCCGATTCCGAGTTATTGGTACTCTTTCGAATTCAAGAGATTTCGCAAGGGAATTTAAATGCCCTGAAGGTTCCCCTATGAATCCTGTACACAAATGCAGCGTTTGGTAACAATACAATTTGTGAAAACAAACGTTTTCGGTGGACAATAAAAGAATTTCATAGTTATAGTATTAGAAGTCTTGATTTGTGTTTAGATATATTCTCGAATTTCGTTAACTGTAATGTGATTTATTTTTGGTTCTACCAATACCAACTAACTAAAATTGTCACACGTAATTAAATAAATCAAAAAATGGAAATTTTTAAGACATTGATAAAACTAATATTTAAACATAGCAGCGTACAGTAATTTAAATTCAACAAGAAACTAAATTCTTGATGAAATGAATTTATGTAGTGTATACATATGTATGTACATAGTGCTAATATTGCCACGAATATACGTGTAAGGGCAACGAAAACACGTATAGCGTAAATCATACAGTCTTTCATGATTTTGATGACTATTAGAATCCATATGTCATCTGTGAGTGAATACTAATTGGGACGATTCTGAATATCCAAACAATTTATAAAGATCCAGATAAGATACAATTCTGGCACTTCAAAATAGACAAAGTAACCCCGATCTCTCAAAATGCAGGTAAGATAAAATCTTGATAACTTTTTGTCCCAAAAGGATAAAATATGGTTAGGCAAATTCACATCAGATCATAGCAAGAACACAAACACGAAATTATCACTAATTTTTATCTGTAATCAAATCGTGTAAATTTGTCATATGATTTTACAACTTCATCTCCTTATATAATTTTACCTTGTCATCAATCAGATTTAATCAAGGCTCCCCTTCAATTGACTGAAAAAGCGAAATGATTGCAACCAAAAATTAAAAGCACATACTTACAGGGTGCGCCATCTAGACCTTCGCTATTTTAACATTGGATACCTCTGTCGGTTTTTAACCGATTTTAACAAATGTCCATGATTCTGATTTTAACCATGAATCAATACACAACGAAAGAACGTGCTACAATCGTAGCGCTTTACATTGAAACCAATCGTTTAGCTGTGAAAAAAGTGCGTTCTTATCGTATGAAGCTGACTTCACCCTCCGTCGGAGTCCATAAACAAAACTGTCGAATTTGGGGAACAGAAAACCCATACGTCATTCACGGAACATCTTGCACGATCAAAAAGCCAATGAGGGTGGTCATTTAATCGACGTTGTGTTCTAAAACTCATTCGAAATAAGTGGCAAAGTATACTTACTTACTTTACTGCCGTAGACACCGCTTACGCGATTTTGACCGATTTTATAATATTACGCCATTCATTCCTATTCTCGCTGTTTGAAGCCAATTGGAAACACCAAGTACAGCCAGGCCGCCGCCTAATTCGTTGAACAATATCAATGTCGCTTTTAACTCTTACACTCGTCGTTCCATCGTTTGCGATATTCGCCGTCGCCAATGCGCAAAGGACCCTAAATCTTACGCAAAACCTTTCTCTCGAAAACTCCTAACACCGACTCATCAGACGTTGTCATCGTTCATGCTTCCGCACCATACGGATACGTTGAGGGACAAGTAGAGTTTGGTTTTCGTTGGTCGGGAGAGGACTTTACTTTTTAATTGCCTATTCAGTCCAAAGTAGCACCTGTTGGCAAGATTGACTATGCACTAGTTTTCAAGGCTGAGGTTATTATTGGTATTGATGCTGGTTCCTAGATAGACGAAATTATCTACGACTTCAAAGTTTTGACTCTCAACAGTGACGTGGGCCTATAATGTTTCGGGTTTACCATCTCCGGACACTCCATTTTCACTGCTATTCAGCAGGTTGTAGAAATGTTCCCTCCGTAAATTCAATATACTCTGGGCATCGGTGGCTAGATCAGGTCTTTTTGTCCTACAAGAGCCTGCCCCGGTCTTGAAACCTTCCGTAAATGGTCGTATCTTCTCATAGACATTTCGAGCAAAACCCTTGTCGGCCAGCTTCTCAAGCTCTTCATATTCACGCATCTCGGCCTCCTTCTATTTTTGTCTACAAGTGCGTCTTGCTTCCCTCTTCATCTCTCGATATCTATCCCATCCCGCACGTGTTGTGTTCGATAGCAACGTTGCGACGTAGGCAGTCTGTTTTCTCTCTACTGCGACACGGCATTAACATCATGTCGCGGGCGGCGCTCTTAAGTATTCTCTAGGCGCTCTTAAAAGGCGCCAAATCGTCCCTCTCTTCCGTCGGAGCCTTGGCGCAAATCAACTATATGTTTCGCTTTGGTGGGGATTGTGGTGAGGCGCTCATCCACCGGGTTGAATGCCAGGCTCGACGACGAAGTCTCTCTCCCACCACAAATCCAACACCAAATTTGCGCTCCTTTATATAACCGCTGTAGCAAATGTCACAAGAACCTACTCACTTTCGGCGGTGATTTCAGCTTTTATTCTTACGATGATAACAGTCAGCAGACCCTTGAACCAATTAAGTCGGGCTGGCTCTACTAAAGCTTCCTCTCTCATTAACCATTACCCAAAGCTCACATTTCCAGGGTGCGCGACGAGGACGCAAGAGTAGGTATTAAGTATAGCCTCACAACTGTAACAGCATACCCAGAAGCTTTACCATACCCATTACTCCCCAAATGGCAAAGTATATCCTAAATAAGAGTTCCTCAATGTTGATGGCACACCCTCTACATAGTTTTCAACATATGTAAATTGGCTTATCTCACTCGTCCATAAGTATGTACAAAAAAATTTAAAAGCATTGCATATTTAAGAAAATGTAATCAAGATGAAGAAAAAAAAGGAACTATTTCATAATACAATCCATATATAGTTTGTTAACACATTTACAATGCATCTCCAGATATTTTCAATAAAAATTTTCAAATATAATTTCAAATAATTTTTGAATGGAAAACCCTGACGAAGTAAAAAACAATTTAAAAAATCGCTGCACTTACTCATCAAATTATTGAATTTTTTCAAAAAAAAAAAAACATTTCATTTCCAATTGATTACTTTTTAATTTTGATTTTCTTCGATATTTCTTCAAATGCGTCACAATCAAAAATACTAAACGCAAGCAAATTGAGTGAGCTGTGTCTTTTAATTATCTTAATCATGTGTACACTATATTAAAAAATCTTCGACTTCGAAAGCTTTTCAAATTATTTTTAGAAATTTTCGAACAAACGCAAGGTAAGTTTCTTTAAATGCTTTAATCAGTTTTCCTCTCACGCTCTTCTTTAGGAGTGGTTCTTTTGGCGTTGAATATTACAAAAAGTGTGGTAAAATCAAATATAAAAAATAAGTAAAAAATAATTCAAAAAACCACTTATGTGTTTTGAAAATGCAGCAAATAATTACCAAATGCATCTTTATTATTTTTTTCACATTTGTACGTTATGTATATGGATTTGAGAATAATGGTATACCAATTGGTAAGTGTTCTCGGCAAATTATATTTCGAAAACTGCATTTCTTGCGACTGATACTCCATAATTAAGTTTTTTTTTAGGTTAAAGCCGTTTATATACTTAACAATTAAAAGTTGATTACTGCTGTTATTGTTTTCAAAATAATAAATTATGCTTTATAATTTTATAATTTATGGTATGCGTCTTGATGTGTTTTCCAACAAGGAGAGAATTTCAGTTTGTTCTAAATCGCCTACGTAGAGCTGATGGATCTTTTTATGACGAGCTTTTGTTTCATGTTGGAAATATACCTTCAAAAATTGTTATTCCCTGCCGAGAGGCTCACAACTGGGAGAATCAAATTTGTATAATTTGAATTTTAGTCTGATCAGAAATTCGTAAAATTTAAATTCATAATCATAATCATCATCGCCTTCAACAGCATCATCATCGCGTTCATCAGCGTCGTCATCAACTTCATTATTATTGTCACTCTCCACCACGATCGTCTCTAAGGCTTCTTCCGTCAAATCCTGCACTTTTTTAAGTTATATTTCTCTGGTAGATATAATGGGATCAGAGCTGATTAAAAGTCTGTTGAAAATGTCTTTATTTGTTTTTTTCTGCTGCATTTGTGAGAAAAATGTTCTCAAAAAGTCTTGAAATCTATGTTTCGAATTTCCTGACCTTCTTCTGATAGTTGTCCGATTGGTAACAGGGCGTAGGATATTATCTCTGGTAAATGGATGAAATATTTGTGAAGTGTTGGAGACATGCTATACCAAGGATAACACTCAACGTATTCAAAGCATAGTGACGAAACTTCTGTACGCCAAATATCGTGCCCACTAGACACAACTATTATAAGAGTATTGTATGCAACTTTGAATCAAATTTATATTATCTTTGATAATTGCTGTTGGTATTTCAGAATTTTGGAAGAATTGCCATCATTAAAGTTCCCAAAAACACGTTTCGGTTGGTCAATAATCAGACCAGTTTAATCCTTGTATGTGTACTTTATTTTCTGAAACTAATAGTTTCTTGCTTACTGTTCGAGCTTGCTACTTTTTTATGCACAATTTATACGATAAGTGGAGCAGATATTCAAAAAACTTTTTCTACCTGTGAAGCATCGAAAGACCAAATTGTAAATTTTCTATTTTTATATCTTTCGTCACCATTTCATCAATTTTATAACTTTCGAGCTAGCTCTACATACATGAATAACATGTTTGTGTGGATGTTGTTTCTGTTAATGCATTGCATACTTTTCTATCAACCATACATACAATTAAATTATAATTAAATTATAAAATTAAAGATATATTTCGACGTAAATACCAGTGTATTTGATATATATAATATGAACAAAACAACATTTCCGAGGTTTAAAAATGCACATTTTACATTTTATATTAAAATAAGAATTTTCTAATCTTCACAGCTGCACTGTGCTAAACTGATGATTACACCTATTTCTTCAGGTATTATAACTGATCGCAATACAGAGCAGTTGCAGAAAACTTTTGAATATGCCATTTCGAAAGCCAATACCGCTTTGGGTATACCATTAGTAGCGTACAAAGAAGAAATAAGCAGTGGTGACTCAATTGATGGATACACCCGATTGTGTAAATTCATGCAGGTGATTAATGTTTTTATTTATCTATCTTTAATAGATATTTCATTTTTAGTTAGCAAAAAAGTGTTATCTGGAGCACTTTTTATATAAATTATGTTTGTTGTCTAAATTTTGAGACTTATATCTATACTCGAATACAGAACCCCGATATTGGAACGTCAAAAATTAAGGAAATCAAATTATTTAAAATAATTTCACATTACGGGATCATATATCAATCAACAGAACCTACAATCACCCCTTTTTCTATATGACCTAATGCTCTAATTTTCAGTTCTACAAAAACTTTACTTCTTTCGTTCATATACTCTATTTAAATTAAATAAAAGTAATTCGATTTTGTTAAATTCATAAACGTACTACATATTTAGAATGGAATAGGCGCAGTATTTGGTCCTTCCTCACGTCAAACATCTAAACATCTGCGAACTGTATGTGACGCCAAAGATGTTCCTTATATATATCCGCACCTCACTGAACATTTAGAAGGTTTTAACCTATATCCACATCCAATGGATTTGTCACGGATTCTTCATGACATAATCAATATGTTCGAATGGAAGCGATTTATATTCCTTTATGAATCTTGTAAGTCAATATTAAAAAATTAACTTCATTTCATTATCTTTAAGTTAAATATTTTTCTAACAGCTGATTATTTAACCATTTTAAATGGTTTAATGTCATTATTTGCCATCGACGGTCCGGTAATCAATGTCTTACGATATGATCTTAAATTAAACGGGAATTACAAGGCGGTTTTACGACGTATACGGAAATCGGAAGATGGGCAAATTGTCGTTGTGGGCTCAACATTATCGGTTGCCGAGCTATTAAGACAGGTATTAATGATCCAAAACCGTGTTAAGTATGTAAATTATCTGCTTGCACGTTTGTTTGCAGGCTCAGCAAGTTGGAATTGTAAATGATAAATACTCCTACATAATTGGTAATCTGGATTTCCACACATTTGACCTGGAAGAATATAAATATAGTGAAGCGAATATAACCGGAATCCGTTTGTTCTCCCCAAATGATTTTGTGGTTCAAGATTTAAAAACACAATTAGGATACAATGAATACGATAATGTCAACGGTCGGTATTCCAAATCTGTATTAGCATAATCATAGTGACATATATACTATGTACTAAGTACATATGTGTACATTAAATTAGTTCCTTATTATATAATTTTGCATTACGAAGTTCTTAAATCTCATATTTATATTTCTGGATTTTTTTTTTTTTTGAAATTTCAAACTCTTACACAAATAATATGAAATATTAAGATATGCAAATGAACTATAGGTTATGAAGTTTCGGAGATACCTTCAAAATAAATTTATCAAATGTATGTCAATAAATACATTTTTTTTACAAATTTTGTGGAGATAAAATAAAAATGTTACATTAAAACAAAACCATTTAGGCGTAAGATAGCATTAAAAATGTAAAAGGACTATTTTTTTATCAAGTCTTAAAAATTTGTCTTCTTAGCGATACAATTAAAAAAGAACTGGTAATATTGAAAATACTCGTAGCCATGATTTATATGATTTAATTAACATAGCTTAAATGAATGTTTATTAAAATTTCTCTTCAGGTTCCTCTCCTATAACTATAGAAATGGCCTTAACTTACGATGCAATACAGGTTTTCGCTGAAACTACAAAAAAGCTTGTGTACAATCCTCAACCTCTGAACTGTTCCGAGTATAGTGATCATGTGCAGCCTGATGGATCAACATTCAAGAACTACATGCGCTCGGTATACAATTTTTTGCAATTGTTATACAAATCTCAATTATCTAATTAAACATTATACAGATCAACATTAATGACAAAACCATAACAGGGCATATATACTTCAACGGTGATATACGCAAAGGTTATATCCTGGAACTCGTAGAGCTTCAACCAAGTGGACTTGTCAAAGTTGGCACTTGGGATGAACGTAACAATTTGACTATTCAGCGTCAACCTATAACTGAATTATGGAGTGAGATCGACTCCAATTCATTAGTTAATAAAACATTTCGCGTTCTGATTTCAGTGCCAGTAGGTTTCTTTTATGCATACGCTATGTGTGTGAGTGTGTCCATTATTTAGGAACTGTTAACGTAAGATATTGCGCAGTTGTTACTTAACTCTATAAGAGCGATAAATTATGTAGATGAGCTGTTCTGGACGGTTACATCAAATTTATTGAAAAAAGCTTTAACCTCGTCACAACAGTTTTAGTATCATGCCGACGCGGACCTTACTGTTAATAAACTTTTTTTGAATAGCTCAGTCTCTGGTCCACTTTCCGGAGAGAAATATAGTCTTCCTGTCAATCTAAGCAAGCGATTTTCAAGTAAATCAAACCATAAATGAACTTTTTTCGAATAGTTCAGTCCCTGGTCCACTTCCTTCAAGTCAATTGATCGCTTACTTTTGGAGATTTTTGAAACTTACTGCATGTTTCCATGCGGAAATAAGCTTTTTTTATATAAGACTAGCACCTTGAAACCGCTGAAGCGAATTTCGGCCGAGCTTGAGGGGTAGGAACGGCTCAAACATTTTTTGAGGATTTTTTAATTAAAGTCCAAAATATACTCGGACGGGTAGACTTTCCCTGCAAAATTGCGATCGCTTTAGAAGAATTAATTTAGTTTTTTATTTAATTTAAGTTTCTATAATTTGTGAATGCTTGTCGGGGAGGATTAGAATCCTGTGCTTCCGAATGGTACGCACGTCACGCCGATCGGCTGTTTAGTTGTTTATAAAACGTATTCTTAAGGATCAAGGACTAAAATTAGTACTTTTCATTCTTTTAGGCTATAACATATACATTAGTGGGTGTAGCAAAAAACCAATTTGGTAAATAAGGAACACTCTTATACAGTATTTTCTGCGAAAGCGTAAGCACTAATGCCAGTAATTTTATAAATTTCTAAGGAAGTCGTTTTGTCACTCATATTCTATTGATTGAATCTCGACTTCTTTATAACTGACAAACTCCTACCGAGCAATATTCTTTTCAGTAGGCGATCGACTCTCTGAAAAGAAATATCTTATATCTAAATCTGTATCGGCGTATCTACAGTTTCTAACTTAACAACTGTTATGGTTACATTTTTCCTATTTACCATTATGTGCCGTTTTTGAAGTTCAGACGCGTCCACCAGTTAATGTCTTTCGTTAATTAAGTTTCGATTTTTTCTACATTAAATAACGGACACTCTAATGTACATACAAATACAAATAGCTTCCGTTACTTAGCTTAATAGTCATTTTAATTTATTTTAACACATATATTTAACTCAATCTCAGAATAAACCATATGCTAGTTTAATAGAGAGTCATGAGAAATTGGTTGGCAACGATCAATATGAAGGTTACAGCATAGACTTAATAAAGAACCTCGCTGCAAAATTAGGTTTCAACTACACTTTCATAGACGGTGGCACGGATTATGGTAGTTATAATAAAACCACAAATACGACTTCGGGAATGATGAAAGAGATATTAGAAGGTGTATGTGCCATTATTCTTATTTTGTAAAATTTATAAAAAATTAAATATCTTTATTTTTTAAGAGGGCGGAATTAGCCATTTCGGATTTGACAATTACATCAGAACGGGAAGAAATCATTGATTTCTCTATACCATTCATGAATTTAGGTATAGAAGGAACTTTGGAAAGATATTAGATATTTAAATAAATGTGATTTCTTCTTTTACTTATTCCAGGTATTGCGATTTTGTATGTTGCACCGAAAAAGAAAAATACTGATATTTACTCATTCATGGATCCCTTCTCTGGAGAGGTGTGGGTTTATTTGGGTCTTGTTTATATTGGAGTTTCATTCTGCTTTTTCATATTGGGACGACTATCACCAACGGAGTGGGATAATCCATATCCTTGCATTGAAGAACCCGATGAGCTGGAGAATCAATTTACATTAAATAACTCATTTTGGTTTACTACTGGCGCGTTTTTACAACAGGGTTCCGAGATAGCACCAAAGTATTTTAATTACCTAAAATATTGTGTGTTTATTCAAATGTTATATTAATAATGTATCATGCCATAGGTCACTATCCACACGTACGCTTGCGTCAATTTGGTGGTTTTTTACTTTAATTATACTATCTTCATATACTGCCAACTTAGCTGCTTTCCTTACCATCGAGAAACCCATTGGACTCATTGACGATATAAATGACTTAGCCAACAACGAAGGAGGTGTGGAATATGGCGCTAAAAAAACTGGTTCCACGAGAAGTTTCTTTTTGGTATGTAACCACCTTTTGCTGAATTGCTTTTTGAAGACATTGAAGATTTGTTATCTGACTATTGACATTATTGAACAACAGAATACTCTCACTAACACATTTATTGGAATTTAAGTACAATCAAATAAGAATAGAAAGTGGTGTATGAATGCTTATGTTGTTGGTTAAAATTTTTAGATATTCGATTGGGATTTGTCCGCAAAGTATATTAATCAAATGCATGTTTAAATAAGTTTATATTTGAGCACCTTGTTTTTATACCTTTCATGTACATGAAATGGTATATTAACTTTGATCCATTGTATGTGGACGCAGGACGAGTTGAGTTCATTTAGCCATATCTGTTAACTGAACAGTTGTTTGTAGAAATATTTCAACCAACCTTGGTGTACAAATGCGCTATTACATTTAGATCATTTGTCTAAACCGTTCAGATCGGTCCACTATAGCTTATGTAAGACCGATTTTTCATATTTGAGATTTTGAGTCATGAGAATTGGTACAAACAACACTACATGAGAGGTTTTGGGTCGAAAATCCGAGTGAGCGGGAAATTTGATATTCTAAATATGTGCATATATACAAATAAGCTAACCATTAATCTAAAATAAAATACCATAAAATCACTATAGTCATGACTGATATAAACACTTTGGCATAGCGGAAGAAAGCTTTATTTTCTTGTTTTTTTTTTCTATTGCAAATCATAACAGAACAGTGTAAGAAACTAATTTCTCTTTTAACCTAAAAATATTTAATTTTGATAGATATTTATTTAAAGTAGTGTAGTATCATAAGTGTAGCTTATATAAGGCATAATACAAACTTTATAATAGCGGTTTCCGGCATTTTCTTAGACTAGGACAATGTCTAAGAAATGCGACAGGTACAAATGTTTCCTATGAAAATTTGCTAGAGAGCGACAGCACCCCGTTTCGCAAAGCAAATTCAAGTCAAACAACAACGTACAACTTAGCATGATTTTTCTAGACTACGTAAATAACACTATAGTCATAAATTATGTACACGTATATAATATTTTTAAAGGACTAATTAAAGACAGGCAGACAGTTATCGAAAACTATTTCTATCGGAAGTGCAAAGTTCAACAATCCTTTTATATTTATTGATGAAATTTCATTTAAATATATATTGGTTGCATATTTTAATAATAATAACTATCGTAAAATCAGTATCAATCAATTTATTATATAAATGCTTCTCATATCAATAAAAAATCTTTAGACCTCCGAGCATGATGTATACAAAAAAATGAATGAATTTATGACGAAAAATCCGCATTTATTATTTGAAACGAACCTAGAAGGTGTACAACGTGTTAAATCTTCTACAACATATGCTTTTCTAATGGAATCTACGTCGATTGAATATCACATTATGCGTGAGTGTGATCTAAAGAAAATTGGGGAACCACTTGATGAAAAGGGATATGGCATCGCAATGGTTAAAAGTGAGTTTTATGACTGCAGCTATCTATGTAGGTATAAAATACATATATGTACAAGTTGAATTATTAGATGTATAATAACAAGAGGCTTTAAAATAGGGGTCCTCGTATCCACGTTTGTATTTCTTTATTTATTAATACAATTAATTTGTTAACTTAAACTTAACTAAACTATGGATATGGGATGGAGTTACTTCTTTTCTAATTGTTTTTAGGTTTTTATTAAATATGCCATTTGTGCGTTTATCAAATAAATTATTTAGTTATTGATGTTTTCATTTAAATTATTTAAGTTGTTTGTTAATATATTTAGAGTAGGAAGAATAAGGAAGCTGTGATTGTGGTGTAAATGATTTTCTAAAATAGTTAATTTCACCTGATAATAGATTGTTGAACACTTTCTGAGTTTTATGCGAATTATTTGTCATGATTTGTCATGATACCGCTTTTACTGTCGATCAGTATCAGTATCGAGTATATTTCTTGAAGTTCTTATGAAATCATCATGTTTTCTGTAGTGTCCTAGCTGGGTGAAGGCGCCATTTGAATAAGTCTATGTAGAGTTAGTTTGTTTTGAAATTGTGTGCCTGTGAAAACTTGGAAAATGTATTAAAAATTACTAACTATCTTGGTTTACCTCTTCTTCTTCTTCTTTAATAGCGTTGACACTGCTTACGCGATTATAGCCAAATTAACTAAAGCGCGGCATTCATCCTTTTTTTGCGCTGTTTGACGCCAGTTGGGTATAATAATAAGTGAGACTAGGTGGCTCTCAACCTGATCCTTCCAATGGAGTGGAGGTCTTTCTATTCGTCTGCTTCCTCCGGCGGGCACTAAAAGCTGGAGTACTTTCATCCATTCGGACGACATTACCTAGCCAGCATAGCCGCTGTCGCTTCTTTCGCTGAACTATGTCAATATGATCGTATAGCTCCGTCGTTCCGAAACTTTTCTCTTGAAGACTCCCAAAGCCGACTCATCAGCTGTTGTCATCGTCCACGCCTCTGCGCCATACAGTAGGAGGGGTATGGTGAGCGACTTATGGAATTTGGTTTTCGTTCGTCGGGAGAGGACTTTATTTTTCAATTGCCTACTCAGTCCAAAAGAGCACCTGTTGGGAAGAGTGATTCCGCGCTGGATTTCAAGGCTGACGTTATTATTGGTGGTAATGCTGGTTCCTAGATAGATGAAATTATCTACGACTTCAAAGTTATGACTGACAAAAGGGACGTGTTAGCCGATTCGCGAATGCAGTCATCGCAGTTTGTTTGATGACAGGAGATATTTCGTCTTGCACTCGTTCACTACCAGACCCATTCGCTTCGCTTCTTTATCAAGCCTGGAGAAAGCAGAACAAACGGCGCGGTTGTTAAGGCCGATAATGCAAATATCATACGAGTATCTTGGTTTACCTCCTTGTAATGAAACGCCGATTGAAGTCCAAAAGTACATCTAGTGAATTCAAGTTTTCCATTATAAATAGAAAAATTTGTCTTCTCTATCTGGGGCAGGAAAGTATGTGTTTGGCTATTTCGGGACGGCCTATAACGGGCTGATGGGTTCACCAAAACATTCACATTCGGTCAACACTAACACATATGCAAGTTCTCTTACATACATTTCTTGGTTTTTCTTCTCTGTTTTTTCGGTTTTTTTCTTATTTTCATCTTGCCATTTTAATCCTCTTTTCCATCCCTTTTGTAGTGGTTTGTGGCGAGTAGAACACATATTTTAACGTAGAAAATAAAAATATTATTTACTTGAATGCTGATTTATTTTAGCATTAGTGCTGTCGTTCAGCTGTTTTCCGGTTGTCTGACAAAAACGGCACAAAGGAAAAGAAGAGAGAACGACGTGCTCGTATACAAATTTAAAAATAACTTTTTTTATTTCGGGTTTAAGAAAGTGATGGGAAAATCGTTCTACGAGCCGACGTGAATAACTTTAGGCTTTTCTCAAATAATCAATAGTCTTCTTGCAGGGTAGTGATTTATAAAGTTAACGGGATGGGCCAATTACTCCATATTTTGGTGAAATTTCTATTTCTTGGTTAATAAAGTCCCAATTACTAATGGGTAAGGGTATTGTTTTGTATGTATATACTGGTGTGTCTGAGGTGGTTCTAATTTCTCTTACAAAGGTGTTTATCTGGTTCAATAAATAAGTTTGGATATTTGTTTGCATGTCGTTATATGTGTACTTTTCTGCGCTTCAACGGAAACTTGTATATCAGATAGTAATGATCTATGTAGCTCTATTTCTATTTAGTCTGCTCTAAACAATAGCATATGTTAATGTTCCAAGTTGTTCTATTTCTACTTAGTCTGCTCTAAACAAAATTAAACTAAAAGTAAATAAGAGCAAAAACATTTCAATGAAACATAGTTTTCTGAAATAGAGTAACAGAGATCACCCCAATAAACAAATCTAATATTGCAAAATATTTTATTGTATTGTATTTGAAAGAATTTAATCATTGGTGTCTTATTATTTATGTTTCGTAGATTTCCCATTCCGCGATAAACTCAACAACGCATTGTTAGAGCTGCAAGAGCAAGGGGCTTTGGCTCGCTTAAAAAACAAATGGTGGAATGAAGTTGGCGCCGGCGTTTGTAAGGTACAGTAGCTTAAGACATAGGCAAACAAAAAAATGATAATTTAACACTCGTTTACTACTATTTTAGAAAAAGTCTGACAGTGGAGAGTCTGCTCCATTGGATTTAAGTAATTTAGGTGGTGTATATTTGGTACTTGGTATTGGAAGTGGCGTATCTCTAATTTATGGAGTAGTCATGTGGTGCATATATGTCGCAAGAAAAGCTAGATACTTTGAGGTACACAAAAGATTTCATTAACAGAAATGCTAATGTATGTTTTTTATGTTTTAATTTTCTTACTTTCTTCCAGGTGCCTTTTGGAGCAGCCTTTTTGGAAGAGCTGCGAGTCGCAATGGATGTTGCTAACAATGAACGCATTCTTAAAAGCGATCAATCTATATATTCGCGTAGTAGGAATTCTCTCGCTTCCATTGACTCAATACGAACAGATTCAGAATTAGAAAATAGTTTAGAAAGTGATTAATAGGCTAACGTTTTTCTGTTCTACAACTTGTTAAAATATAAATAAATAAAAGATGTCTATCTTTAAATTATTTGTTTTTCAAGTATATTTATGTATCTTATTTTTTCGAGGATAAATAACTTGCTTAGCAATTACAGATAAATTCTTCGAATCCTTAGCCAATAGTACTTATTTAGTCCCAGGTAAATCATCCGGTAGAAAGGGATCCTTGGCTAATAAAATATGTTTAAAATAATCGAATTATGTTTATGCTTTACAAGCGCATATATGTACATATTTATGTACATTTCAAAGTAAATTTAGTATTTTTCGGAAGGCAGCTTTCGATGTCGTTATTAATTGGGAAGCTTTTTCGAACATTGCACGCTTTTTTCTTTAAAATTTTTCAAATGATACAGTTTTCAATAACCCACCACACGTAACACAAGGAAATTGTAGTCGCGAAGACCGGTGTACATTTTTTTATAAATACATATGTGTATTAGATAAAACCTTTGCGCGTAATGCAGGGACACTTCACTGGCGAAGATCTGTACAATCTATTGCCTAGTGGTGTTTTAAAAATAACAAAAAAAAAACAATTTTGGATATTAAAGGAGTAAAATAATGTTCTTAAAAAGCAACATTTTTTTACTGTTCCTGATTATGAGTCATAAGTTTAATTTCTGCTCACCACAATACGAAATATCAATAAACAGCAAAGAATATGGTATTGATAAATACAGTCAAACCGACACAATACCCATAGGTAAACTAATAAAAAGTGATTTGCGGACCAACATATTCGATTTAGTACTCTAGCACATAACAAATGTATATATGTATGAATATTCATATATTATTTTTAGAAGACTCTCGCAAGCATTTGAATTTTATCACGCCCACTCGTATGTAATGTTTTGTCTATGATTATATACAATTCTATGGTAGTGTAAAACTGTAAGACTAGAGAGAAAATCAAGAAGAAAAAAAAAAAAACTAATACGAAAACGGGTAGATCATGGGTGGAAAAATTACACCACTTAAATTCTGAAAGCAATAGTTTAAAAAATGAAATATCGTTATTCTAGGTTTAATTACTGATCAATTCAGTAAAGCTATGGGTACAATATTTGAGCATGCTATTAACGTGGCCAATGCAGAAATAAAAGTACCATTGCGTGTCATTAAAGAGGAGGTGGCTTATGGCGATTCGTTTCAAGCTTATGGCACATTATGCAAACTACTTCAGGTGAGCCCAAATACTCCGTATTTCATTCAGTTATCATTTAAATCTATACATCTTTTTCCTTAGTATGGGGTAGCAGGAATTTTTGGTCCATCATCACGACACACTGCTAAACACTTAACCCCGATTTGCGATGCTAAAGATGTGCCCTACTTTTTTTCAGAAATGACCGAGACCTCAGAGGCCTTTAACTTGTACCCAAATCCCTTGGATTTTTCAAAGGCTTTGTTTTTATTACTGACTGCGTATGAATGGTCAAGTTTTATATTTCTCTATGAATCTGGTAAATTTAAAAATAATTATTAAAGAAATATGTTTTGATTTGACTTTGTGCAGTTGAATACCTGAATATACTTAATGGCCTCATGTCACTATATGGCAATAATAGCCCCACTATAACCGTTTTACGATATGATATGGAAATGAACAATAATTATAAATCTGTTTTGAGACGTGTGAGAAAATCTGAGGACAACCGCATCGTCGTAGTTGGCTCTACAGACACAATGCCGGAGTTCTTGAAACAAGTTCGTATGTAATATATTAAAAAAAGTATGAATTTTTGACATTTTTTTAAAACCCAATAAGTTTAGTTTTTTAGATTTTTAGAACGAATAGTAACTAATTTCAGATAAACGAATAAAGGGACAATATCCAGATACATACGTTCTCCCCCTCGAGGGAATACGCATATTTATAGCTATGAATGTTAGCCTGTCATTGGAATACCTTTTCTCGCAATCATTCATTTCATGTTATTTTCTAACTGTGTCATCCTACTTGTCATTCTTACTAAGCATCCACCATTTACTAATAGAAACCACAACATTTCTGCATATTGTTCGAGCAGATAATACGGTTCCAAGAGAAATGTTACTTTAGTTTCTTTCTATTTTAGTTGTTATTATTGTATTAATGGATAGCTTAATAAGGTGCGAGGACGAGGTTACTTATATGCGAGTACATATATTGTATAATTATAGGCTCAACAAGTTGGAATTATAAATGAGGACTACATGTATATTATAGGCAACCTAGACTTTCACTCCTTTGATCTCGAAGAATATAAATACTCGGAAGCGAATATAACAAGTTTCAGAATGTTTTCCCCAGATAACTACATTGTAAAAGAAATCCTGGATAAAATGGGTCACAAGTATACCTCAGAAATTTTGAGAAATGGTGAGTTACTCTTGAATACAATTGTTTATTTTTTCTCAGAGAGAGATATAGATATATATATATTTTTTTTTTGAAATCACAATTTTAAAAGCACTCTACACGTTTGAACACGCAAACATACCAAAATAATACGCCATTAATGGCCTTCTTTAAAATATGTCTGATGTTAAAAAGACGAATAAGAGTATAGTGTAATTGGCGCTTTGTAGCTGCTGAAGCAATCTTCTGCCGAGCTCCTCTTCCAATTTACGGTTTTGGGTCTTGATGTGATTCCAACAAATGGAGGGACCTACAATTTATACTAAGCCACATCCGAACGACAAATCGTTTTTTATGAGCAGCCTTTATTTCGTGTCAGAAATACACTCGAAGGTGTTGACATTCCCTGCCGCAATTAGAAGATGCAACTTAAAATTTTATTTTAATTAATTTTCTGTAACTTTTAGATGCTGGTCGCGCCGGGATTTGAGCGCGAGCCTACCGAATGGCAGTAAGCAATGCTAACCAATCGGCTACCGCGGCCTATGTGTTTTAGAATTGAACAAAATTAAAATCAAATTTTTCGTTAGAATATTAAGGAATAAAGATCTCAGGGAAAATAATTAACCACAGATCAATCAAAAAAAAAATGATAAACTAAATTTTAGTTAAAGCGATTGTTATTGAAGGATAATATCTCGTTTCATACCATCTATTCAAATATGTGTATTCTTCTCACCTTGCAAGTGCTATTGTGGATGGCAGCAGATAAAACAAACGTTACATCGCCATTATGATTTTTCACATTTTCGATCAATTAAAGAAACGTGAAATGTTTTATGATTTCTAATTTATATGTGTTCTATTAGAAAAAAGTACCTGAAATATCGTATTTAATGGTCGATAAACATTCATGCATATGTATATGCCAAAATGCAGACTTAAATATCAGGAAGCATTTAGCCAGCGCCCAAAGTTATGCAAGGATCTACGCTCTACTTACAGGCCTATTCTGAGTTCACTGTCCCCCTGTAAATTTTGTTACCAGCGACATAACAAAAAATGTACTGTTTGATTTTGAGTTGCTAGTCTAAGAAAAAAAATAAATTAAAATGGGTAGGAATATTTTAAGCCTGAAATTCATTGAAGATGAAGAAAAAACTGTAAAAAGGCGTATACTAAGAGGTTGCGAGAAAAAAATTACCCCTTTAGTTTGGAAGATAGTGTTTTCATTAAGCTTTTTTTTCGTTTAGGCATATGTTCCAAAACTAGATTCAAATATTTACAATTTAATAAAGAAATAAATAAAACTTAATTAATTGTTCACCGTCTTCCATTTCGATGTTAATGTTCTTCATTTTTACTTTACCAACTGGCAAATGTAATTTGACAAGGACAAAGAAAGCAGTGCTGCCAAAGCTTTTTCAAACATTGTAAGCAGTTCTCCAGAATACCAAATTCAACATCGGGCGTTAAAAAAAGGAACAAAATTTACTTTACCATTAATAGTGAGAATAGGCCTGTTATTGTTTAACGTAACGTACAGCTAATTTCCTGGAAGACTTTGATAAGAAAAAAAGAATTTTTAGTAAAATGAACTATATATACAATTATTTTGGTCCCTTTTCCAGAATAAACTAAAGTTTCCATACTAATTTAATCATAAGGCTTATGTATTGGGTTGCCGCAAAAAAAACGGCGATTTTTTAAAAGAAAGTAAACACATTTTTTTAATAATACTAATTACTGTAAGCAATAATGTAATTTCCATCTTGTTGGATGACCTTTCGCCATCTTTCCGTCAACGTCATTATGAATCAGCTTTACTATTTAATGAAAACAAACGGAAACAAATGGTAGTCCGACGCAAGGTCAGGGCTACATGATGGATGCATCAACAGTTCCCAGCCAAACTCTCTCAGTTTTTGGGGCATGACCAAAGATGTGCGCGGTCTAGCATTGTCCTGGTTTAATATGGCACCTTTACGATTGACCTATTCTGGTCGCTTCTCCTTCATAGTCGTATTCAACTTGTCCAGTTGTTCACAGCAGACATCCGAATTAATAGTTAAGTTCCTTTGAAGCAGCTCAGAATATACCACATCTCTCTAATCCCTCCGAACTGATAGCATAATCTCCTTTTGGTGAATATCAACCTTTGAAGTGGTATGTGGCGCTTCATCATGGGTGGACGATGGCCGTTTTCGATTGACATTATTGTAAACAATCACCAGTTATGATTTGCTTCAAAAACGGATCATATTCATTGCGTTTATGATGCATATGACGAGCGTTGAAGAGGCTTGTTAAATGAATTCCTTTCAATTCATGTGGTACCAAAATATCATTTTTTTAACAGTTCAAGATATCGTATATGATTATGAATGGCTGATTTTGGTTCTCCAATCTCTCCAATCTTTTGCTCAGTTACGAGACGATGTGACTCGATTAGAGCCTTAATATCGTCATCACAAACTTCACTTGGCCGACCTGAACGTGGCTTATCTTTAAGTGAAAAATCTCCCGAACGGTGTTTGATAAACTATCATGGATACTGTGTTTCTTTTAACGCCTTATCACGATACAAATGATGCAACTTTTTAGCAACCTGGACTGCATTTTTTCCTTTAAGGATATACTGCATTAAAATATGGCGAACATGTTCATTTTGGGGCTCCATATCAAAATTGACGCCAAACAAAATTTTTTTAAAGCAAGCTAAAAGTGTCTGATTACGAGTATAAGCGTCAAAAAAAAATAAAATTAAACACTCATAAACTGTTCAAAAATATTGTCAACGCAGTCTGTATGAGGAATCGCCGGGACAACCCAATATATACCGATTTTTATTACATATTTGTCTTTATGTAAATATGTTTGTATGTATATCCTCGCTGTGCCTGCAGAATAATAATTTTTCTAATTGCGGTTGCGCCTCGACAGGAATGTGAATTCTTCCAAGGTTATTTCCAATGCGAAATAAAAACTCCCAGTAAAAGTTTCGAAGACGGCTTAGCATAAACTGTAGATCGCGCCATTCGTTTGAAAAACATTACGGCACATATTACAAATTGAAGGAGAAGCTCTGCCGTATGAAATATAGGAAAATTTTGATCTTTACTGGGCGTTAGTTTAACTGGAAGTTAATGAACTAAATGCATATGCAATAATTTTACATTTTCATCTTAATTTGATAACGTTTCTGCGGTAGAGAAAACAATAAAATAGAATATTATTGGTATATGAAAGGACGTCTGTGTTGAGATCCTTCCTAGGTTGGGCTATTACATAACATTACGACTTTTCCCAGTCCTTTGAACAGTAGCTTCTTTTTAAAACGACATTTATTACCGAAATTGTGCTTAAAACACATACACGTACATACATACTTACAAAAGTACAAAATTGAATATATTTTTAATTTTAGGATCCTGTCCTATAACACTGAACATGGCTTTATCATACGACTCGGTTCAACTGTTTGCGGAAACTACCAAATATCTACCAGTTCGAAACGCGCCCTTGAACTGTAGTGACCGCAGTGAAAGTGTATTGGATCATGGTTCCACATTTAAAAATTACATGAGAACGGTATTTGGTATCTTATTTCATTTTACTTTCTACTTTAGCTCTATATACATGTGTACATTTATATATAAATATTTTGTAAAATTTTACTTACAGTTTGACACAGATGCCCATTCGTAAATCCATAAAGGATGAAAAAGAATTTTTCTTTGTATTTAATTTGTAAGAAATTTATATCCGAACAGAAGATAAATATGATATCTATCGGCTATATAAAATCGGCTATATAAAATATATATATATATATATATATATAATAAATGCTTTGTAACCACTGAAGCGATTTTCGGCCGAGCTTCTCCAATTTTTGATATGTACCGTAATGTTTTTCAAACGAATTGCGGGATCTATAGGTTATACTAAGCTGGATTCGAATGGCTGGTGAACTTTTACAGGGAGTTTTTTTATTGCGTATTGGAAATACCCTCGAAGGGATTGGGATTCTGCCGAAGAGCAACCGCAATTAGAAAAATTATAATTTTACGGTTACGGCGGATGCCATGACATAATGAGCCTAATTGTTGGTATATTGGGTTGTAGTTACATAAGTGTTAGCAGCGTGTTCTATAATCCTGAGCGACATGCAACGAATGCAGACCCTTATAAATAAAAAAAATTGCCTTTTATCGGTGCTAATCTTTATTATTCAGGAAAGTTATTATAAATATAAAAGTTATGACTATACCGAAGGCTCTGACACTTAAATTTAAAATTTTTCAAAAAGTTGAGTTAATCGATGTGTGCACTGAGGGGCTCATATGTAGATACGAGCATATGTAGATCCGAACACGTATAATAGCTCGCGATTGTCTCTGATCATGGAGTAATCATCCCCAGAAATAGAAATAATCGATATTACTCACTCTTTTACTTATTTCATATTTTCATTATTTTCCCACAGCTTCATATGCAAGAGCGAACTATAACTGGTGAAATTTACTTTGAAGGAAACGTCCGGAAAGGTTATTCTTTAGATATAATTGAACTACATCCATCTGGGATTGTTAAAATCGGAACATGGAATGACATTTCAAACCTCACAATACTACGTGTATCCCAAACAAGTTCTGGCGTCGATAACCGTGATAACTCCCTGGTTAATAAAACCTTTATCGTATTGTTAAATGTACCGGTAAATTACAATATATCTGCGACCAGTATATAATATATACTTTCAGTAATTATTTTCTGCATAGATATGCACATTTAATATTGAACACCAAACTAACACCCTAACTTTATTTTATTTAGGCCCTACTATATTAAATTTTTTTAGTACACATATAAATTTTGTAGATACACGTAATTTTTGCAGGAAATATTCGAGATTTAGAGCATAGGATGTATTTCGTTTTGTTTAAATTATAATAAATAATGTTCAACTCTAAAAGGATAAAAGGAAGACTAATAAATTAATTGCATGAAAAAGAAACAAAATAAAATTCGGATAAAAACAATGTCAATAATTTATTAAGGAATCAGGAAATTGCAAAAATTACAATTTCGACGTGTGACCACCCTGAAACTATTTTCTCTGCCATATAATTGCAGAAATCAAAATTACAGTGTATGATTGCACTCATTTATCTGCAATATGATTTCCGAAATTATATTTCCAATTACTCATGATACACTGACAATTAATATCTCTTTTGAAATTACTGTCAACAAACTTGAGTATTGTCTATCCAGTTTCCAGAAATTGAAATCTAATTTCCACGAAATTGTTTTACTACAAGTAGCTGCTCTTGAAATTAACTCTCGAAATTTGTCATTTTGACATGCAATTTAAAAATAGATAATTGCTACGTCGGAAGTCACCTTAAAATTTACTCGTGGCTGTAAAAGTTAGTAAATATAAGAAAACTACAATGAATAATGTGTACCTCACAGACTTTTGATATTGAAAATAGCCAAAACAGCGAGGTAGCTCATTACGTAATTAGAGTCAGATCTAATCCAGTCGAAATAATGTCTATGAAGGTAGTTTCATTCATAATTTTAGATACTTTCTCAGATCATATCCAATAAAACAGGATTATTTAATTTTATTGAGATGAAAAAATTAGAACAAAACATATGCTTACATAAATATACCCAGAGCAACAATTTTAACTGATTTAACATAACCGTCCGTTTCTACAATAATAGTAATAAACTCGTGATTATATCAACTTTTCTACATCATTTAGAACGAGCCCTACGCTAGTTTGAAGGAAAGTTTCGTTAAACTAGAAGGAAACAGTCAGTATGAAGGCTATGGAGTTGACCTTATTGAAACCCTTGCAGAAAAACTTGGATTCAATTTCATTTTCAAAGATGGTGGGAGTGATTATGGATCATATAATAGTACAACAAATACATCTACAGGGATGTTAAAAGAAATTAGGGAAGGAGTAGGTATCAAGACATATTACGATTTATGACTTACTAATTAGATTTTTATTTGTAGCGCGCGCACTTGGCTATAACGGATTTGACAATCACAGCAGCTCGACAACAGGGTGTCGATTTCTCCATACCTTTCATGAATTTAGGTTAGTTGCAATAACACACGTGGTTCTATAAGTACATTTAAAAGTATACTATTATCAGGAATAGCAATCATACATCTAAAGCCACAAAAAGCAGCCCAAGCATTCTTCACATTTATGGATCCTTTTTCCAGAGAAGTGTGGTGGCTTTTAGGACTATCCTTCCTCCTAGTTTCATTCAGCTTCTTTATTTTGGGACGTTTGTCGCCATCTGAATGGGACAACCCTCACCCATGTATTGAGGAGCCCACTGAATTAGTTAATCAATTTACTATAGGTAATTCGTTGTGGTTTACTACGGGTGCACTTTTGCAGCAAGGCTCTGAAATGGAACCAAAGTGAGTAAAACATACATTAAGTTAGATTTGCTGCCACTCAGATATATCTTTAATACTTGTAAGATTTTTTTTTGCAAAGTCCCAATATGTATACATGGGTAATTGTGGCCTGTTCGGGACAAGCTTTATGCTACAAACTTTTATTTCATTTCGGTAATTACCTCATATTTGTGTGCATATTGGCATATTTATTCTCATATCTATTGTAAACGCACATAAGTATGTTATTATTGCTGTATTGGCCATCGCACACACATACGAGTATATACATAAATGAGTATTAAGGTGTCCGATATTTGCAAAGTAGATGTTTTTTCTTACAGTGGCCTTTGGTTCACTGACTAAAAGAGAATAAAAGACCAAAGCTGCTTTTAATATTCATTTTAAGTCTTTTCTTTAAATTCTTTCCTTATAAATAGTCACGGATTACAATCATAGGAGAGAGTTTCCCTAAATGATTTTTTTGCAATAAATCTTAGTTTCATTAGGTCTTAAAAATGCAGCCACTTTTACAATACATACATACGAGTATGTAAATAATTTGATTTACTTTTCTTTCATTTGATTTTATATGTAATAAGACAGTGTTAGGCACGATACTCCTCCGAAACGGCTTCTCCGATCTTAATGAAATTTAAGGTGCATATTAAGTCAGTCTGAGAATAACATAACATCCATTTTTCACATAGGGAAGAGGACCTGGGCCTGATCTTTTCGAAAAAATTTTATTAATGGTTCCATTTACTTAAAATGCGGTACACAGGTGACTTTTTGATTAGATTAACAGGAAGATTACAATTCTCTCCCATGGACTAACTTACGCAAAAAAGTTTATTTATGGCAGGGAAGTGGAAAGTGGACAAGCGATTGACCTATTTATATCTTATTTATTGCTTGATTGACTTGAAACTCGATAAATAGTTAGCAATTTAAGTTTCACATGATAGTGACGCAGCCATTACGGTTCCAAATTTTTTCTTTACACCATTTTTTCTCCGTTTTTTATACTCGCATTGTATTTTTCATAAAAAAATATCAAATTCACTTTTGTATAATTAATAAAATTTGTTTAAGCCGTTATAAATTAGTTCGTTTTTATAGGGTCAGAGATTTTTTAGTAATAAAGGTCATGTTTACAAATAACCAGTGTGCAAGTGAGGAGATTCCGATATTTTATTTTCAAATTGTAGAGCCATTTCGACACGAACAGTTGCCTCAATATGGTGGTTTTTCACTTTACTTATGGTTTCATCTTATACGGCAAACCTAGCATCCTTTTTAACTATTGAAAAGACAACCAGCCTTATAGATTCTATAGACGATCTAGTTGAAAATAAACATGGAGTCGTATATGGTGCTAAAAAAGATGGTTCAACGAGGGAATTTTTCGAGGTAAATTCATACAATGTCTTTTTTTAGGGTTTGTAGTCCAAATGAGGGGATTTTAATGAAAATTATATAATTTCTTTAGAAATCAGAGGATCCACGCCATAAAATAATGAACAAATTTATGAATGACCATCCTGAATATTTAACTAATGACAATACGGCTGGTATAAAGCGTGTCGACAAAGGCTATGCTTTTTTAATGGAATCTACTTCCATTGAATACAACACGATGCGATTATGTAATTTGAGTAAAATTGGGGATACGTTGGATGAAAAAGGGTACGGCATAGCGATGATAAAAAGTAAGAATTATATTTTTATATACATTTTTTAATATTTGTAGACAGTATATATTTATAAACATGTAGTACATATAATGATAAATTAATAAAATAAGCTGTATTATCATAAAAATTTTTAGTGAGCCTCAGTATTTTTTCCGTTTTAATAACAAATATAAATTTTTATAAATGGCATGCGTGAAAATAAGATTAATTGTCAAAACATTATATTATTAAATTGAGTATAACTGCTTTTATTTTTTGTATTATGTATCCATATATGCTCTACATCAAAATAATGAACACAAGCAAGGGGTGTTCTAAGACGAGGGGTTTTAAATGAAGCAATACTTTTTTCGAAGTTGGTCTTTTTGACAGCTGTTACTTGATTTATACCTACTGTGGTTTCCCATTTTATATTGAACGGACTTACTCCAGAACAACGCTTGCAAATCATTCAAATTTATTACCAAAGTAATGGTTCTGTTCGCCCAACACATCACAAGAAAATTGTATTCAGCGAAGAAGCTCACTTTTGGTTGAATGGGTAGGTTAATAAAGAAAATTGTCGCGTTTGGATTGATGATAATCTACAAGCTATCATTGAGACGTGGTTACTTCGCCCAAGATTCACTCTTTGGGGTTCTCTGCGAGCAGAGTGAATTGCTAGTCTATATTTTATCAAAAATGAAGCTGACCATTACAGTTGTGGACGACCTTTGCTTGCAACAAGATGTCGCTGCATGTCATACAGACAACTAAGCAATCATCGGCTGGATTTTACTCGAGCCAGAGTTTATAATACACAATTGAAAGCTTTAAGTTTAATAATTAGAATATTAAAATGAGTACATATTCTCGATCTCCCCGAAAGAAATACAATGATATACATATTGTATATACAGTAAGTCAACTATTTGAGCACATACCTTTTCCAAATATTATGTTTTGTCGTTTTTTTATTAAAATAAAATTTTGAACAAAAATGCGAAATTACTGGGAAAATGCCGTTTTTTCAGAGAACATTTGCAAATATAGACTAAGGCATATAATCAATTAGTTAACTTTGTGAAGTAGAGAAGTATTACACCACTTTAAATTGCTCTGCTATGCAAGTTTTTATTTTTATTGGAATAAGTGTCACAACAGAAGCTATCAGGAAGAAATTTCGGAAAAAGGGCTTGCACGGACGTGTAAAAGTAAAACAATCTTGACAATACGACAAAGTAAATTGAGGCTCCAATTTGCGTAAAAAAATATAAAACCTGCACCCAAAGTGTCTGAATGCGACTCCCGTCTGAGAGAAGATAGGCGGCAATGAATTTGGAGAAAACCTCATGAAGTTTTAACTTGCCGCATGGTTCAACCAGCGGTGAAGTTTGGAGAGGGTAACATAATGATGTTGGGGTGTATGAGGATGGAGGGGTTTTGGGAGTGTGTAAGGGTTGCCGAACGAATGGATGCCAATCAATATGCTGATATCCGTCAACAAGGTTTGTGCAGGAGCAAGGTAATGATCCGAATCACATTTCTTGTGCTGCTAAAGTTTGACTTCAAAACAACGGCTTTGAAGTACTTGACTGTCCCCCTCAATCGCAAGACCTCAACCCAATCAAACAAACTCGGGTTGAGGTCAAGCGTGCAACTTATGATTCGTGAGATGAGTGTCATAACCTGAACAATTTATGGCAGAAAGCTCGAAATGTCTGGCAAAATATTAGCAGAGATTTCTACAGGAAGGTGGTCAAGTCCATACCCAAACAAACTGAGCCAAAAACCACATAAAATATTAAGCAAAAAAATCGTTTATGTCAATCAATTGATCATATGTGCAGCAGAGATATTTTAAACAATTTATAGAAATCAACCAAGTGTTTAAAAAAGAAAATGTGTTCCTTTTAAATTAGAAGAAGTTGCAAGCAAAAATCTTTTTCTGATACCCAGGTGTGACAAATAGTTGACTTACTGTATATATGATATAATAGTAGGGTTCTAAAACATATATATGTATATAAACAATAAGAACTCATCATAACAATATTAATAGCGATGGTTTAATACATTTGAAGATTGGCCTTACCGTGACAAATTCAATAATGCACTCCTTCAACTGCAAGAACAAGGAGCATTAGAGAAGCTCAAAAACAAATGGTGGAAAGAAATGGGTGCAGGTATTTGTACTGTAAGTTAACAAGCGTATCATTATTTTATAATTTTCATAAACTCAAACTGATATCACAATTTTGGTTCAAAGTAAGAAAAATCCAGAAGAAAATGATATATTATAATCTAGGCTACACTCAAATCGTTGACAAACGACTCGATGACCGGGTGGAACTTACATTCGGTATTCGCGCCTCGTCGGACTCGCGCGAGCAATATTTTCGACTTTGTTGTTGACAACCCAAAGTCTGGACAAATAGGCATATCTGGAAAGATGAATATGACTTTACAGACTGCATTCATCACCACCTACAAGCACCACTGGACAGGGCGGCTTACTCTCTTCCAGAGAATGGTGTTCTCGGTATCAAACCATCACACATAGCAGACGAACAGCTCGAGCTGCCTCGAGAACCCCGCGTAATACTGGTGCATTTAAGATATGGATCCAGTAGTTGACCAGATTCCTACCTATCTAGACTTGACCCCGACATACCCAACGTATGTCTTGCAAACATGAAGTCGCCGCGCGACTCTAACCAGCTTTTTACATGCCCCTAAAAACCATTTCATCTAAACCTCTTTCTCTCTCATCAATATTTATTAATATATACGTAAATAATTCATTTCAAAAGTCTAGTAACAGCAAAATAAAAATTATACATGTATATTAATTGCACATAGGAGTATTCTCAAATACTCAACCTTCAGTAGCGAATGTGGAGAATATAAACCATTTTTGTGATATAGTATTCATTCCATTCCATTCTATTCCTCTTCGATTGTGTTCTCATTCATATTCGCTTACATAGAATGAGGGACCGCAACCATTCTAACAAGATAATATTTTAGAGCTGTAAATAAATGCATTAACGTAGCTATTTAATGCGTACATCACTTTTTTTTATTGCATCTTGCTGTCACAATAAGTATCACAAATTTTTTAACATGGACTTTTTTGATTACTTTTAGTCCAGTCAGCAACGAAGTGAGGATACCGAGTTGAAAATGAAGAATTTAATAGGTATTTACATAGTTCTGATTGTCGGAAGCGGTCTTGCATTTATTTATGGCATAATTAGTTGGATTTGTTATATTCTAAGAAAGTCGAAAAATGATGGCGTAAGTAAATAGTCTCTTCTAATTGTTTAAATTTAAAATTACACTTTCTTAATATTTTAAGGTACCCGTAAAAAAAGTCTTAATAGAAGAGCTCAAGTTCGCTTTAGATTTCAATAGTCACACAAGAATTCTAAAGAATACGATTTCTATATACTCTCATAAACGGAACGATTCCTTCCCTTTTGCATCTGAAACGGAAATCAAACAATAACCAAGAATATATATCTTTGTATTTATTATATTAATTTTATTATTTGAAATTTATATAAAACTTATTATAAAACGTTATTTTTTATAAATACACATATTGTTTTTAATTAAATTTGTTCGGAATGTAATAAATATTATAATATAAACACATGTTTATTATACAATACAAAGTATCCACAACAGCTAATAAGAAGCCAAAAAGCTTCAAATACATAACCATGGTCCATAATTCCAAGTAATATCGCCTTAAGCATTATTACTTTTAAGATAACTAAAATTTCACGTAATAATACTTTATTATATTATCCGTTGATTATATTATAAACCTACCAGAGCAGTGTTTTTTTGTACCCGCACACATAAATTTTTGTACGAAAAATCAGAAACACTGTGCTATGTTCTATGCGAAATTTAAGCGTAAATACACAATACGAAGAAGGGCATAACTAAACACTCACCCTTAAATCGTTCCTCACTTTAAAACAATAACAATTTTTGATAAAGCAAACGTTATAAATATGTTATGTCCTATTTATGATTTGATAGATTCATAATTACTAAATCTTTATGCTAACGAGTTTCCTCATATTAATAAAATTGAGTTTTGACTAGTTACTACAAAATGTTTACTGAACAACAAATCATATTATCACACGCTGATGGAGATGACTTCACACGGTAAACACCATTTCAAGCTTTCAAAGCAAATGCAAACAAATCAAATCTGTATTATGTCCTCGGCAACGATATTTTTGTATGGTCGTAGCATATTTTTTTCAAAATTAAATACATTTACTTAGTAATTGATTTTTTACTAAAAATATTGAGTCTACAAAAACATTAGTGATGATAGCGAAAGAAAACATATTACGCAAATTATAAATTCTTCACGTCCAGTTCTTCGCTCTCCATAATAAGACCTGAATATGGTTATCCGTATCAAAAGTTCGTGAATTCGGGTTCCGTCCTTGCAGATGAGGTGTGGGGTTAGTTGCTGGCTGAATATTTTCATTTATATTATTTGTGTCCATATATCGAGAGATCAATGAGCGATAGCGACGACCGATTGTCGCAACTAGTGGAAAGTGAGGGTGAGGCACGGATATAATGCTTTTTATCTAATAAAAAAAAAATTATATAAATTAAATTTATATCAGATTGAAAATCAAATATATAACCAATACTATTGTATAAAACTTGGAACTGCCGTGGCGATCATACCGTTTTCAACTTTACGGCAGCAAGGATAACAAAATACGAAACACTTGAGATGTACGAATACACACTCACAGCTTGCTAAACTTGCTTGAACTTTTTGAAAAAATTTCAAGAAATTCTGTAATGGCTAGTTAACATTGCTGGCTTATCCTGAAAATCTTAGCGACAAAGTGTTATAAAGCAAATTTTACATAGATTGTCGTTATATCAAAGGACTACTATTAGCTCTGTTCGGCGGGCAAAGTCAATTGGTTTTTGCAAGAAGTTAAAGGCTATTTAGCAAGAATTTTATTTTTCTTACTAAGTACGATACAAAATTTATTTTGATCATCATATTAACTTTCGGTGACGTATACTGTCATATGAGAGAGGGCTACTTGATGGTCCTAGAAGTTTACTGAAAATTTATGGTAATTTTACGAAGTAAAACAATTAAACCAATTCGGAGAGAGGTTTAGTTTTTTAAAGTGTCCCTATCGCAGAATTATGTATATACACATATTGAAAAATAAAGATCAATATTAAGAAATTATTATCCGAATTTTCTTTGGACGAAATTTTTTAAAAATTAATGGGCTGTGCAATTCGTTCAGAGCTTCAAAGCCATGCTCAAATATTGTTTGGACAAAAACTTTTTGCCATCGGAGATTCGGAAATTAATCGAAGTAATGTAAAATAATTAGTTTTTATGTACTTTCAAAAATATGAAAAATTAAACTAAGAATATAGCCAATAAATTTTGTAAAATACCTCATTTTCATAGGGACGAAATACGGTTATCGGTCTCAGCGTAAGCACTTCAATAATGATCAAGCATCCCCACGTCGTGCCAATATATAGCTCATCACCATATGAAGACAAGGCGGAAATTTGGCACTTGATCAAACTCAAGTGTTCATCGATTGCTATGCTTTTCAAGGATTCCGAGCACGGCAATAGTTTTGAGCAATCCAATTTGTTTTCGATTTGTTTTTTATGCACATTCCATTTATACACTATAAAGCCAGGATAGAGGCAAGAAAACACAAAGTCATCTGATGCACACATGCGTGCGACTTTAACATCTTCAATTATATTAGGTTCTTCGCTGTGACATAACGATTGATGTCCACAAACTCCAGTTTTGCTCAAAGGAAAAACGTTAATTTTGCCAGCCATTTCTCCACACCAAAGTTCGTATTCGCTGCAAATTATGTATTTAGTATCTATTTCATCAATTAAACACACTACATTTCCTCTTACTTTTCTATAATTACAGAGCAAGCACTATGTAGTATTAGACCAGAGCAAATTTCTGTTAATACAAATGTACCTTCCGCAAATGCGCAATTTGTGGGTATTTTCGTGGCATCCACTATAAATACTCGTCCATTGTGCAAACCAATTGCAACGCGGTCAATGTTACGCAGATACACTAAACTTATTACGGGCGATTTTATAACGGGATCAAGCATATAAGAAAAAATATGTGTATAGTTTTTGGTACTGTGAAATGAAAGCAAGTAATGTTTTTAATTAGTAAAGAATAATAAAATACATATCTCTTAACTTTTTAGCACTTGCCTGTATGAATGTAGATTTCCCGCCGCATCACCAATCCAAATACAATCCTCAATTAAACAACAGCATAGCATATTAATATTATGCTTACGCGGTGTCGAGCGAGACCGCGAATGGTTTATATTATTACTAACGTCCGGACAAGGAGAATGATTCATTTTCAAAAGATCCATGCATAATATGCTGGTGTTTTGTAAAAAATTTCCCGAATGTGAAACATCCAGAATATCAATGCGTGAATTATATGAAGGCAACCAAATCTCCAAACTTGCTGTGTCATCTTAATTAAATGGAACAAAAAAAAATTAATGTTTATAATAGTACAGAATTAATTAATTACCATCCGTTCTAGTAAGGACATTGAATACGCCACAGACAACTTTTTCGCTATGAGACAATGAAATGGCATCCAACAAGTGTATGCACTCAGGTGCAGTGAGTATTGATACAATTTGACTTGCCGATGGACGCTTTTTGGGTAAATCATCCCAACAAAGGACCATTAGATCAAGACAATATGAAGGGAATTGAATTTCTCGATGAGTTAGTGGTGGCCGACTACCTTCGAGTATACATTCTTTAATAGACTCGTGGCCTTCAAATGGTTGTCGAAGGCTAATAATTTCGTATATAAACATGCCGAATGAAAAACAGTCAACCTTTTCAAAGAAATAACGTATCAAAAAAAGATTTTATCTATTATACCTTAAATGCAAACAATAACCTTCTCGGTGTACTCCTCTTCTCCATTATAACGTATAATTTCAGGGGCCATAAAACCCTCAGTGCCTCCAAAGCCTTTGGATCCATTTGGTGCTGTTTGACGACTGATTCCATAATCCGCAATCTTTATGAGAACACTATTCCCTGGTGCGTCCTCACTGCAAATAGTATTAATGACGTTCTCATGACCTAACATTTTCGATTTTTTGTAACAAGCATGGACTATTTATTTTGATAAGACTGTACTGATTAAAATCTGTTTTAACACACACTTTTTGAATTTTTTAATGAATTTTTAATTTTTTTAATGACCTTAACTGTTTGCGTAAAAGTGAAAGCTAAATAAGATAGACCGCTAAGAAAAATGTAATACCGCGTATGTAATCTGACTCGTAATTGAACTTTACACCGTTCACTGTTTCTGAAGGTTTATTTCAAGGCTTACCTATGCGGCTCTGGAAAATCCCAAACAAGAACATTTTCCGATTTTAAGTCGCGATAAATAATTCGACGTCTATGTAAATACTCAATTGCTCGTGCGGCTTGTAAAACTAATATTTGAAATGTATGTGGTCCAATATGAGCACCACTTCGTCGGTATTGCCGTAAAATAGAATCGAGGCTACCCATTGGAGCAAGCTCTAACACTAGAGCCAGAGGTTTAATGCAAATACCCACCAACGGAACAATATTTGCATGCTTTAAGGTAAGAAGAACTGCTAGTTCTTGCCGCGCAGTGCAGTAGGCTTTACAAGCATGCTGAAGCGGATCACGATCCCATTTGCCCAAAGCAACTTTGTAAGCTAGCAATGCACTCTGAAAAAAAAAGAAAATTCAATACTGACAAATTTAAATTTCGATGTACACCTGTACTGAAAAACAGCACCTCTTTCGCTCTCGGCCCTGGAGGTACGGGCTGCAGCATTTTCATAGCCACAGCTTGAAAACTACGAGTAGCTTTTACTTTGCAGGTTGCCTTAAATACAAATCCAAAAGCCCCACGGCCTAAGAGTGCACCTTTTACAATATCCTCTGAATTTATGTTGTATCGCTCAGGTATATCAGCAAAAACAACATCAGGCGCTAACCAACTCATTTGAATTTCCATGTGTACGGGACAAACGATCTTTGTTTGATTATACACAGAAAGAATGCATTCTTCAACCATCCAGCAATAGCAGATATTAGAAATGTCTTGCTGATTATAAAAAGGATGTCCATCAACCGATGTATTTCGAGAAGAGCAAGCTGAATCATGTCCTACGCCGGAATCAGCATCCGAAAGGTAAAGTGAATCCTTGAAAGAAAAACATTAATTTGATAAAGTCAATGTATGGGAAAATGTATCATTTTTATTACATATCGCTCACTAAATCAAAAACAGTCACAACTCGCAGGCATGACGTTTTTTACACTTAAGCAAGACTGAGATTAAAAAATTTTTTGAAAAAGAAAATAATTTCGAAAATTTGAGTTGTAACTGTATTGTTTTTATTCCTATTACATTTAAAAATGCGTTCCACAGGTTAGAAGTAAAAATAAGATAGTTTCACAGGTTTAAAAAATATATGAAAATAACGACTATATGAGGAAAATATTGGTTCTGTTCGGCAGGCTGCTGACCAATCATAATTTTCCCAATTGTTAGTGAACGTTACATTAGCAATATTTGCAACTATACTACAATTTAGTCATTTAGTTTGAAAGTGATGTGAATTAACAAGCAAAAAAGACATGTAATTTGATAACACAACGATGAATATACATATTAAATAATAAAAGTACCCGTTAAACAAAAATGTGATGAAAGTTTAGTGGAATAATCGCAGCACACCAAAGAGCCTAGACTGAGGAGTAAAGACGTTAGGAATGCTGAAGGCATATAATTACAATACGAACATATATAATTGGCGTATTGTAACCGCTGAAGTGATTTTCGACCGAGCTCCTCCTTCTCCAATTTGTGCTACGCGTATCATGTTTTTCCAACAATGGAGGGACCCACAGTCCTAAACCGCCTCTGAACGGCTGATGATATTTATGGGAACCCTGATCTTCCGAATGGCAGTACGCAATGCAACCACTCGGCTATCGTAGCCGCCAATTATTATTATTAATTATGCATTTTTAAGCATCTAAAAGGGTGGCATATCCAATAAATCCTTATAATGTTCAGTAAACACTGTCAGATATACAGAAAAATGCTTCTAAACTAATTTTCGTATATCAAGCATCCTTCTTCAAAATCTAAGTGACAATTTATTAGACAGCAACTTTTAGTGTGTTGTTAAGAGGAACGCATTTTCGCTTATTTTTTTGGTGAAACTCACTAAAAACTTACTTGTGATGTTCGTTCACGACGTCCAGAATTCACGATTGATGAAAAAAGGTTAACTGCTCCTACATCAGAATTTTTAAAATTACTTCGATTGCAAGTCTTCTTTTTTTTTAAACTGCTCACGAAAGCCCCGTGCTGCATGGAATTACCTCCTTCAGCGCTATTATTAGTATCATCATTTGATCCTCCGCTATTAACATTTGCTACCTTTAGTAAACATTTCGGGCATAAAACCAAGCGCGTAATTAAAAATCTCCCTTCAGATGTGTGCACAAAGCGCGTACCTAATGCTGGATACCAATCTTCAAGTAACAAATCTATGTGATCTACTGCAAGCGCTAATAATTTTGCTATGACAGACATGTTCGGTTCAATCTTTGAAATGAATTCTCGATCGCCATTCGATGCTACCTGATAGGCTCCGAGGTTGATAAGTGGAAAATGCACTTCTAATATACTGGAAGACGTTAAATTCAAATCACTCCACACACCATCTAGTTTGAGTTTGAAGCGACTTGTAGAGTTTCGAAATGATCGAGCGGAGGAGGAGCCATGCAGTGGAATTTCCCATATTTTGAAAAGTAAAACTGTTCCGAAGCTCAATGAAACTCCATTTTGCCATAAATTCCATTGCGTTTCGCGTTCTAGAGAGGTGCGCAAGTTGAATTCCAGGCTTTTCTAAAAAATATATATATGACAATCAAAAGAATAAGGAATTATAGTAGAATTGAAAACTTAGCATGTAATTCACCAAAATTTACTAATGGAGATGGACTTACATCATTTAATGGTAAATAAAATGTTTTGATAGCTTCTGAGATTTGTTCATCACCCAACAATCTTGTTATTATCCGAGACCAAAATCCAGAAGGAAAATATGTCATTAAAAGAATGCGTCGCAGTCCAACATCAAGATCAGGGGGGTCTTGAGTTAAATGACTAGTGAAAACTAAATTTATCTTGTTTGAACAATCTGTAGGCAAATTGCGTGTCCTCGAACGTTGAAAAACCTAAATATATTTATAAAGCAGTAATATATTTTAAGCACTTTACTCAAAAACACATGCTTACTTTAACAGTGGTCCCTGTAATAAAAGATATGTCTTCACTATCAGGCAGTAGCGAAGGTATAAGTAAAGTGCGTGAATCCCATGTTAATGCTACCTCAAATTTATTCAATAGGCTTATAATGTAACTAAAAATTAAAATCATAGCTTTGAAATGATTTTATATTAGCTTTTATAAGGCACTCATACCTTCGATTTATACTGCTCTGTGTTTTTTGGTTTCGAAATAATAAACCTAGATCATCCATTTTCATAATGCCGGTGCGAGCAAAGGGATTAATTTCTCGTACAGTTACTACATGCGCCAACATGTCACACAACCATTGAGGATCAAGAAAGTAGTAATCACGCAATGTTGCATCGTCGTAATGCAATATAACTCCATTTTCATGTAGAAACATTGTTGCTTGGTTAAGTTCCGCCATGTCTCGAAAGCTTTTATAATGATGTAAGCGCATTTCTTCTGTAACGTGCTTTCGATATTCTTCAGTATTGAGTACAGGATCCATTCCAGCAGTTCGTAGATTAGTAGCAATAACATTAACAATATCTTCCAGAGCAATGTAAGTAGCCGGAACCTTTTGTAATAGAAGAGGCTCTTTGGACCCAGGTGAACGCAGAATAAACGCAGTGTCGTAAATAATGTTTGCCAAAAGCCGCACATTATGTAAAGTACTAATATTTAAATATGTTAATATTTTGTAAAAAAAAAACACATTGCATTCATTTATATGTATTCTATATTAATGGTAGATGCTTTCTAAAGTTATACAAGGCATGATTTTTTTTGAATATCTTTTAATTTAAGCGCATCAAGCTTTGGTCCACAGACATCGTAAGATGAACACGATTGCGCTGACATTTCGTATGATGTCAAGAAAAATTTCATCTAGGTTATGTCGTCGAAGTTATCCAACGGAAATACGCAGGAAAGAGATGTCTCGACGGCTTTGGGCCAAAGAGATGGTAGATGAAAGAGATGTTGCAGTGGAACTCAAGGTCTTGGCCTGCTATTTGTGATGATTGGGAAGACAGCTTAAAAACGTATTGCCTGACTCTATGTGAATGGCGCAAAAGGCCTGTCGGCATACCGCAATGTCTGCCGATTCAGTTCTATAGTGCACAATGAAAGTCGAGAGTTCCCAACGGAAGTCGAGACGAGTACGGTAACATCTCATCGGATATTGCTTCCATAGAATAGCATTATATTATATAAATGTTTCACTGTGTAAACAATGAATAGGTGACCACAGGGTATTTCCCGTCACGGTCCTCAAGGCGTTGTTTTGGCAGACTTGCAGCTTATTTTAACGGCGTCTCGCTCGTCCCCGTCGTCCAGATCACCTATTTAACAACCGGTCAAATAATTGCCTTGAAAGTCGGGAGCAACGTTTCTTTTTCTTTCACTCAGGTATTGTTAGAATTTTTATGTCATCAAAATTCACAACCAGTTTGAGCCGGTACCCCTTGGGCCAACTGTTGAAGTGCAATAGGCATTGCCTTCGTTTCGGAAAGGAGCGATATTGGCCGATGTGATCATCCTTTGTTAGCAGTTTTCCCCGGTTTTAACAGTGGCACCACTCTACCTAGTGCCCACATATAGTGTAGGGAGAAGCTGCAGGATTTGTTCCGCTCTTACTGGTTAACTATTTACCGAATCAGTTTGTATTCCGTGATTAGGGGATCACCGCAATACAAATTTCTTATATATTTACATTTACAAATTCAAATTTGAATTTTCATCCATTAATTTGAAGCTTATCATAACAGCAATTGTTCAGAGATTGGTAAAATAAATATGAAAAGCAATGACAAACTGTAGAGAGACGATTGTGAACATAACATACATATATGTAAAGCTGTCACATGCTTTAGCTTATACAATATAACAAATAAAACTTTGACCCCAGATCAAAGCAAATGGGGAGTATTTTTCGAAATTTGGGTTTTTGCTTTCTGACATATGCACATGTGCATTCATGCATGTATGGAAGAATACTATTCTCAAATGATCAGCTGCTAAATGTCTTATTGTTTGCAATAGAGCTTAGTTTTTAGGTTCCACATCATCTGCTCCCTTAAGCGGTTTACGATTGACGTTTGCGCAGCGTCAAATGTCTGGTGTGGTATTATTATAAAAGACCACATTTTACATTCAACATTTTCCCCCACTCGCTTAGATAGAAATGTAATTTTTACATTCCAGGTGTAAGCTCTAACCCACATTTATCAGATGGGCGTATATTGTATTATTTACTTACCGACAACTAATCTCGATTGAATCAATTACTCGTGGAAGCCCAATTTTTTCAGCGTCAGGTATGGCAATGAATTTTTCCCGAATGATTTGCTGAAGTTCCTCTGCCTCTTTTGCGGAAAACGTTACCCCCACGGCATCAAAATGTGTACCAACAATTATCACAGCTGAATTAGGCGCGCGAGCCTAAAAATTTGGGTAATCCAATCAATTTTTTTTATAATTTGTTTTTGAGGCCATGCTATATAATATTTTTTGATATTCTTGATTTTTTTTGTTTTCAAAATATATTGAGCTCTAATCGCCAAAAGAACGTGAAAGGAAAAAAGTTTTGATAATAGATTGATTACACAATATCAATTCTTCTGTAAATTGTAACGTTTGTCCTTAACGCCTTTTCGGCAGTTAGGAAGGGGATGATATTATGAGTCTTAGCACAAACTAAATGTTTTCCTTAAAGAACGTTTTCGTGTAGTTGTTTGTCCAAAAAATAAAATTTTTGTTACTGTGTCTTTTTGGGTCCTAACATACCGCAATAGCCGAGTGGTTAGGGTTTCAGGATTTTTTAAGTGTTTTGAAAGTACATATTTTATGGGGACTCGATTTTCAGAGCATTACAATTTTATGTTCGAAAACAAAATGAAGTTAAAATGATTTGCCTCAACAAAACCAAAATTTCAAATCGCAAAATTTTTATTCTACTTTTATTCGATGATATTATGAGTCTTAGCACAAACTAAATGTTTTCCTTAATGAACGTTTTCGTGTAGTTGTTTGTCCAAAAAATAAAATTTTTGTTACTGTGTCTTTTTGTGTCCTAACATACCGCAATAGCCGAGTGGTTAGGGTTTCAGGATTTTTTAAGTGTTTTGAAAGTACATATTTTTATGGGGACTCGATTTTCAGAGCATTACAATTTTATGTTCGAAAACAAAATGAAGTTAAAATGATTTGCCTCAACAAAACCAAAATTTCAAATCGCAAAATTTTTATTCTACTTTTATTCGAAAGTTATCAATATATTTTCCATAAGCAGAAAAGGAAACTTTTCATAGAAGTAGCACTGGAAATTGTTAAAAAAAATATTCATCGTTAGAGCTATTTGCCGAGTAAAAAATTTCTTATCAGCAAAGCCACAATCTTTTACAACAAATATGTCGGCAAACTATTTGGTACCATACGATTTGATTCCTTTTGTGACAATATCACAAAACTTTATTCGTATGTAGAGGTATATGATTTTTATTTCAATACTATTATTCTCTGAATATTTTAATATAGCGATGCCGTTTATGCATGAAAAAATAATATAACTATACTAATAGTTTAAACTCTTACCTGTATATTTCCCAACCATTGCAGAACTTCGGCCAATCCTTTCTGTCCATCAGTTATTCTCCAAAGTACTAAATACAAACTACGTTTGGACAAAAAATACTGATGTGTTGCGTAATATCTTGAAGAATAAATACCATTTTTGAAATCCTATTCATAATTTAATTGCCTTAACCTACTCTTTTTGACCACCAAAGTCCCATGTGCGAAATATTACAGGTCCATGTGAACCAGTTGATTTCCTGCGTTTTTCACATACCCAAGTTCCAATATCGACTCCAACAGTTGAAATGTTCCCTGCAAACCCACTTTTCGAGGCATTACGAGAATGACCCATGCGTTTCGCCCAATGATTTTCGTTAGCGCGTGATTTTTGTGATCCCCCTCCCTGTCGCAGCAGATCTAAAAGTGTTGTTTTTCCAATGCCCTGAACGCCTACAACCATTAACTTCATGCGAGCATATATAACTGATTTTTCATAAATTGACTTCAAATAACCAATTATATCCATAGTTTTATACTTTTTACTTTCAATCATAGATTTTAGTGGCTCTTGCAGCAAACAACCACGCGTGTTTAAATTCCACAAACGAGAAAGAAGTCCAAGGTGTGGTGGAAGATCTGTAATATTAACATTACCACTTATGTTTAGTACGCTAAGTCCACTTAGCTCATGTAATGAAGCGGGAATTTCCTGTTGAATATACATATATTAAATTTTAAATGCGCGCCATAAAATTGCAACTCACCTTGAGGCAATTGTTGCTAATATCAAGCATTGACAAATTCGGAAATATCAACTTCGATTTGGTTACTCCCACAACATTCCAATCAGCATCGTCAGATTCATTAAAAAGAGTTGTTGCATCATCAGTTGATAATTGCAAGCGAGTTAAGAGATTATCGGCTAGTATAAGAGTGCGTAGAGATTCCAGTCTTAAGTGTCGACGATGTTGACAAACACTTTTAAGTACCGTGCTACGAAATGAACTGGTTTTTCCACTAACAACAGGTTTTATAAATACAGATGATTCATCAATAGGTTCAGTACCGGCTGGCTCAACATAACTGTAACAAAGCAAATGTGGGTCGAAATCGGTAGTGATCCGTGGTAAACTTGGCCAACACGTAATTTCATTATGACTTAAATCTAGTTGTTTCAGTGTTGATGGATAACTCGTAACGTGTCCCATGGACCTAAAAAACAGTTAGGTTAGTTAAATTCTTAGCTTAATATAACTTAATTTAATTTTTACCTCAAACTATTGTATGACATATTCAGTCTAGTTAAACTAACTGCCAAACAAGGTAACGCAGTCGGGATGCTGGTAAAGAGATTGTTAGCGATATTTAAACTATTTAACTTTGAAGCACCTTCATCATTTTTCGATTTATTCCACTTCATTTCATTATCAGTTATATCTAATGAATTAATCCAAATGTTACGATGTATTAATTGATGGAAATCCAGATTTCTTGATTTAGTATTATACGCATTTGAGAAATCAGAGTTCGAATATGATTCACATTCCAACTTATCCAAACTAAGATAAGATGTTGAAGTCTGCAAATGTCATCAATGGCGAATCTTAACATACAATTAAAGTAGGTTTTTAAAAAAGTAACAGACCTGCATAGGCGGTACTGGTAAGTCTCTCAGCAAATTGAAAGCTACATTTAATTCACGTAATTTCGGCGCTTTCCACATATCAAACGGCATTTCTTGTAATTTATTATTAGAAACATCTAATATAGTAAGAGACGGTAAGTGAAATATTTCGGTTGGTATTGTTATTAAGCGATTATCTTGTATAAACAGTTCTTCAAGAACAGGACAGTTGTAGGTATATTTGCTGTTATTAGGTGTCTGCTCTGGCGGAGGTAAACTAGTAATTTTGTTTTGTGCCATGTTTAAATGTCTGTGAGAGGAACGCAATTTCAATAAAAAGTAGGGGTTATTATTAAGATACTCACTTCAAACTAACTAATTTGAATATTTCAATTGGGATGACAGTTAAACAGTTGTGTGAGAAATCTATACGCGTTATTGCAGTCAGCGTGATTTCATTTATCATTGGGTGTCCAAGTAGCTTGGGATTCAATTGAAGAACTCCTCTAACCAACCAATCAACACTGCAATAAGAAATATGGTATTGTCGAGTTATTTAAGGAAATAAAATAAATAAGGAAAATATCATAATTTAAGAAAAAAAATTCTTAAACCCACCGTACGAAGGGCAACTGAACATTTGTGTTGTTATGCCAATCTATGATAGTTGGTACATTTGGAAACATCGAGCTATAAGAAATATTTTTCGCAGATGGCAGGAACACATTCACATCGACAGGTGCTGGTAAGCCCTTTTTGTTGATTTTATAATCAGAATCCGGATGAACTCTCACTGCAAGTAAACGATTCAATAACTCTTCATCCCTTGAGCTAATGGCCACACCTAATGCAGTGCCATTTTCATCGCGGGCTCCATATCTACAAGTCCAATAAAAATGCATACATTTTTTTAGTGTTAAACAAATTATTATAATGTATATGTACGGGTTTACTTCAAAAGCAATTCCACCATCGGAAGTAAATGTTGTTTGCATGCCTCAGCAATAGGAACATTACTCAAACCATATATTTCTTCAATGCACTTTGGATCGTTGTGATCCTCCACTGGCTTAGCGACAATATTCGGATTTCCGCCATGTTGTAGTAATAATTTAGCCACGTCCACGAAACTACCGCGTACGGCTGCTAAAAGCGCGGTTTCACGAGCCGCTCCACAGAGTATATTTAAATTGATAGGGCATTTCTCACACACATTCTCTTCCTGAAAAGTTAAGAAACGTAAGCATATACCAAAAAAGCACTAACCAATATTTACATCGAGTAATGCCTCGCTTTCACCAGCTATATTTAATTTTGACATAATAGCTTGTATACCAAATGAAATACGCCTTCTAGTTGGCGTGATAGCAGTGCTGTCGCTGCAGGAACCACGAATTTCGCTATTTCCCCCTGCTCCCAAATCATTACTTAGTGTTTTCTGACATTTTACGCGCCAATTAAGCAGTAAATTAACAAGGGATTTATTTCCCAATATGCTAGCAATGTACAGACTTGTCTGCCCTGTAACATCTTGAGCATTCGGATCGAAAGGTAAGAGCCACTCCCATTGACCTTCTTCATCACGATAAGAACTGTACAAATATTGTGGATATTTGAAGCGAAGGAGTAGCTCAACCAAATTGCAATGACCGTTAATACAGGCAGCATGTAATGGCAGCCAACGTTCCACCGTAGGTTGCTAAAACACATAAAAATTAGCTAGATTGATATATAAGTATTTGTTAAAAAATTGAACACCTGTATTAGATCAGGAAACCGTTCCAGAAGCATTTTTGCTATATTATACTGCCCATGTTGGACAGCAGCATAAAGTGGTGAATATTTAGTAACAGCATGTGTGCGACCATCGGCCCCAGAATCTAAAAGACGATGTGTTATGCTCTCATATCCGGCTTGTGAAGCTCTAAAGTATTTCAACGAAAACGAGTGTAATATTACTACTTATGTATACTCTATTTATATCGTACACATCATTAAATATAATATAAATACAGTACATCCACCTAAACCAATAATTATTATTTATTTTATTTCGTTACAAATTTTTAGAAAAACCTACATTAAACACTACTGGTGGGGCTCTCGTACCCCAAACCCAAAGGGTAGAGAGTTTTAGAAATGCATTATAAAGAATAATTTAAAAACTTTGCCGAGCGGGGAACCTACCTACTGGCCGAGCGACCTATTGAAAATTCCTAACCTCCTAGATTTTGTCGTATATAAAGGCATTCCAACTCAGTCACGAAATCGAGAAATTGAATAACAAGAAATCACCAGGATATAATAAAATTGATGCCAAAGTTGCTGTGTTGCCTAGAAAAGGTATTATGTTTCTAACGCTTATATATAATTCAATATTAAGGCTTGACCATTTCCCTACTCAATGGAAGTGTGCTGAAATTGTGATGATACCCAAACCTGCCAAGCCTGAGAGCGAAATCTGTTCGTATAGGCCAAACCGCTTGTTATCTATATTCTCTAAAATATTTGAAGAAATATTTTTACATAGGATTTTGCCTTTTTTGAAAGATAACATCATCAATTTGGATTCCGCCGATATCACTTTACACCTGAACAATGCCACCGGGTAGTGGACTACATTATAGACTCCTTCGAACGTAAGGAATACTGTTCAGCTGCATTCTTAGACATACAGCAAGCATTCGATAAAGTTTGGCACCATGGCCTCTTATTTAAATTAAAAAAGATATTTCCTTCCCAAATATATCTAATTCTTAAGTCCTGTTTGACAGAAAGAGCATTTTATGTAAAGATAAATGGCGAAACATCTAACATAGCATTTATGAATGCTGGAGTACCACAGGGAAGCGTGCTCGGTCCTGTATTATACGCCATTTTCACATCTGACATATTTGTAACAGAAAATGTATTAATTGCTACATATGCTGAGGACACCGCTCTATTGCCATCGGGAGAGACTCAAATAGAAGCAACTAATTTAGTGCAAGAGGAATTAAATAAGATACAGACTTGGTTAGACTGCTGGAAAATGTGAGCAAATGTTAATAAATCTGTACATATTTTATTTACACTACGGCGAAATGATAGTACTCGTTTATTTTTAAATGGTAATATTATTCCTAAAAGTAATACCGTTAAATCCCTCTGCATGCATTTAGACAAACGACTAACATGGAAACAGCACACACAAGCCAAAAATAAACAATTAAAAATAAAAACAAAACAACTTTATTAGCTACTCGGGCATAAATCACCGTTATATATCTTCAAAATAAATTACTGTTGTACAAAGCCATACTTAAGCCTATATGGACATATGGTATTCAACTGTGGAGCACTGCTAGTAAGTCAAATATTGAAATTTTGCAAAGATACCAATCAAAAACTCTAAGATTGATAAAGATTTAGCACAGCATACCTACGAAAGATAAGCAATCATGATAATCCCTTGGCAATAATGTTACTGGATGAAAGCAATGAAACCATTAGACTTAAGAGATATCATGTCCTAGATCTTCCATTTAGAAATTAACTTCGCTGTATTAAATTACTTTTTTTTTTGAATATTTTATTGATATATATTAAATTAGTCACATAAATAAACAAAAAGTTTTAATATAAAGTAGTACAATGTTTCAAAGTCTCTAGTCGAGCTCTCAAGAACCTTAATGTAATGTGATATTCCTTTTAAGAATACTGAATTAAATTTAATTACATTTGCATTTGTATATATGTACATGAGTTTGAAAATAAAATAAATTGGGAAAACTGGATGATAGGAAGGTGGGAAATGAGGGGTTAATGTGTTATTGTGATAACCACCAAAATTTTTTTTTGCATTTGTAAAACTCGAATTTGTCTTTTTTCGTTCGCTCTTCTATATATATGATATAGTATAATTGGCACACCTTCACTATTTTGAATGAATTTGTGTCTATCTAGGTATAAAAATATTTCGGGTGGAATAAAACCAATGATTATTGCAGTTTCAGCATATCTATCATCACAATAGAAAGGTGCTTTCATGAACATGTTGGTTTCTTCTTCCAGGCAACGAATAATATGATTCCTAATCAGGGATATCATTCTTATGTCAAACCGCATTATTTGAGCTGAAGCGCATAGCTTTTTATTTGATATAAATTTTAAGTAGTTGCTACTTGATGTTCTGTAAAGAGAAGTACAAGCTCTAAGTATTCTTCGCTCAAATTTCCTGATGCGTTCCATATAATAAGGAGATATATTGAGCCATATAGAGCATCCATAACTTATTATTGGTTGTATTAGTGATTGGTATATAATAATTTTAACTCTTTTGTTAACTTTTTTTGAACAGAACATTTTTTTGTATACAAAGAATGCGCGGTTAGCTTTCGAAAGTTGAATATTTATGTGATCGTTGAAGTATAAAAATTTGTCTAAAGTAATTCCAAGGTACTTAACTTTGTTAGTTAGTCATTAAATCATTTGATTCATTTGTTTTGATACCAAACTGTCTCCATTTTTTCCTAATATTAAAGGAGCATTTGGAAATTGGAGGCCTAAAAAGAATGCTTTCACATTTACTTATATTTATTTTAAGATGCCAATTTTAGCGAACTTTTGCACTGTATCGAATTTTTGCTGCAAACTTGTGTTTATGGCTGTTATATTATCATCTGGATGATAGATGATATATTATTTATTTTATTTAACAGATCTGTAAGAAATAGATTAAATAATATTGGGGCATTTACTGTGCCCTGTTGGAGGCCATTTATAACATTAAAATCACGGCTGCTGAATTCGTCTCCAATTATATATAATTAATATATTGTCTCTATATTTTTTATTTGAAATCAGTAAGTGTAAGTGGAAACCGTAACATAACATTTTTGCGATTAATCCTTTAATCCAAACTTTATCAAAAGCTATTTCTAAATCAATGAAGCATGCTCCTGTAACTTGTTTTTTGTTCCAACTCCAATTTATATCTGAGACCAGCAGATTAATTGCGTGGATAGTGGAGTGCTTATATTTGAAGCCAAATTGGTTATGGCTTATTATTTTCTTTTCTTCTAAAAATTTATTTATATTCATATTAATTACTATCTCAAATATTTTGCTTATATTGGGTAACATACTTATTGGTCTAAGATTGTTTAAATTGTTTTTATCTTTAACTTTTTTAGGAATGACTACGAGTTTGGCTGTTTTCCATTGGTTTGGGAAGTATGAATTGTTAAGTAAATTGTTAAATAATGTGCAATAATCTCGAATGAGCAACATGGGTAAATTTTTTAGTACAATGTTGGGGATTTGATCTAGGCCTGACGACTGTTTGTTTTTAAGGTTTGAAATGATGTTTATCAAGCCATATGGCGTGACGAAGTAATTTTCAGTTTGGTTATGTGTAAGATTATTTGCTTTCTTTACATCAGTAAAAGTGTTTATAGTCGATTTAATTCCTTCATATCTGGTTTTGATTGCTAAAAACTGGGTAAAAGAATGTTCTACCATATAATGTACTGTATTATTCCAATCAGTTTGTTTAGCTGAGTGAATAGCTTCGAAATGACAGCCTATTATATCTGCCATATTCTTTCTTTCTTCTACGATATAGTTGTTTGTTGGTAAATCTATTTCGAACTGACTAGGATCCAGACCTGCTTTATAGATAGTGTTTAAATGATCTGATGGCACATATATTCGACTAATAATGTTTTTTTGTCATGATGAAGAACATTTTTTTTAACAATTGCGAATTTCCAGGGGCTATCTAGGGCTTTAAGTTTGCTTTCCATTTGTTTGTTTAGTTGAATTTTTATATTTTCGTTAATCATTTGTTTTATAAGCTTTAATTTTGCTTTAGCTAAGCTAAGACTGTTTTCAGTTGAATATATTTCAAGATGTTTTTTTTTTTTGACAATGGTGAGTGTTTTGCTTTTTTCTTTCATCAAAAGTTTAATCACTGGAGAGTTAGCAAGTAGTCTTGTGGTGGGAACATTTTTAATTTTTGGGACGTTTTTGTCTATTGCTTTGCTTATTATGTCATTAATTTTAGATAAATATTTGTTTATTTCAGAATTGTTAAGATTTCTATTATTCGGTATTGCTTCTTCTTGTAAGTGAAGCCTATTTATTGTTTTAGAAAATTCGTTCCACTTAGTATTTTTGTAATCCAGTTTATAGGGTGCGGTTTCCCCGAATAAGTCAAAGCTATTATCACCAGTGCAGGTGGCTATTATCTGGATGGCTTGGTGATCACTGTCGTAGTTAATATAGTTCCAACAGTTAATCGAATTCCTATTTTTATGTATCTCAATTCTATGGTCTAAAATACAGATATCTAAAAATGATTGTGATCTTTCGAATGAGGGAGTTGTTGAAGTAAATAGGTTGCATCTGTATTTGATAGAATTTGTAGTTAGCCAAGCATTCAAGTTATTACCTTTGGGATTGTTAACTGAGTTACCCCAGTTTAAGTGTTTACTATTAAGATCACCTGCTAAAATGTAATAGTGATTACAGTCGTGTAACTTCAACTCCTCAAATAGGGTGTTTATCTCACTTTTAAATTCAAAGTTGTTATTTCCCGATGGGTAGTATGCTGCAATGATATATAGAATTTTTTTTGCTAACAACTTTACTTTAATGGTGCAAGTCTCAAGATGCTTAAGTGAGTCAAGTTTCCTGCAATAATGTTTCTTAAATTTAATATTTTCTTTAATGAGGATGGCAGCGCCCCCTCCATTGCCTGTATTTCTGTCTCTTCTGATTAAATTGTAATTTTGAAATTTTAGCTTGTGTTTAGAGCTCAGTTTGGTTTCATTTAATAAAACTAAATCAGGGTTATTATCATCGAGGAATTTAATCATGTCTAATCTTCTGTTAATATTAATAAGTGAATTTACATTGAGGGAAATTACATTCATTGTGTTACGAATGTTAATAGTTTGAGAATCAGATTGGTTCATGCTGTTTCGACCAGTTTGCATATAACGTCTAATCTTTTTGTTTGAGCGTCTATTTGGTTTTGGAGCAGGTTTAATTGTTTACTTAAAGTTAAAACTATGTTATTTAACTGTTCTAAAGAAGAGAATTGTTGAATTCCTAGCATATCTAAATGATTTGTTCTATTTCCACCTCTTGTAATGCTTGCAAAACTAATATTAGGGTTGACTAATTTCTCAGGCTTATTTTTTAAAATTAAGTTTTGTTTTTTGGTCCTAATTTTTTGTTGCAATTCTTTATAACGTCCGCAGCCTTTATACGAAGCTGGATGTCCATGTTTCTTGCAAAGAATGCAGTAGAGCTTGTCCTTTTCAATGGTTGGCTCCTCGGATAGTGGGCAATTTTCGCTCTTGTGTGTATTACTACATTTGACACACCTAGGTGGAAGATGGCAGTTTGCAGCACTATGGAAGAAATTTTGGCAGTTGCGACACTGTGGTATTTCCGGTTTTCGTAGAGATTCCCATTTGATTTTATGGTATTGTATTTTATCGATCGCTTTTAGTTCGTGAACACTACTTTCGGCGCTAATTTGAACCATAAACATAGGGAGAGCGATATTGCGTTGTAGAGAATTTTTTGTTGTAAACGGACTGACTTTTACAATTTTTAATTTTTCGTTTTGATAGCCTGCAAGGTCATCGTATATAAGTTGTAGTTCAATATTTGGATTTATGCCTTTCATTAGAAAGGTTTTGGTTTTGAGACATTTTGGAGTGTATGAATAAAATTTTGCTTTAGCTTTTTTTAAGTGGCCTCGCACTCTTATATAGTCGTCTAAGTTAGACAATAGAATAGCACGCTTATTTTGGTTGTATTCTTTAATTTTAAACGTTGTTATTTTAAGTCCGTCTTTTAGCAATTCAATTATTTGTTTAGATTGAATTTCGTACACATTTATTGGAGGAATATTCGTATTTTTGTTTTTAGCACTATTGTTATTGTTTTCTGCGTTGTTATTCTCACAGGTGTTATTTGTGGGATCTATTCTATTTAAAGATGCTGGTGTTGTTGGTTTGTCATTCTTATTTTTTTGTTGCTCAGTATTCTTATTTACGTTATTGAGTAGGACTTGCCGCTCAAATTTCTTTGTTACATCTTCATCACAATTCCCTGTTTCACGAGAATCGCGTAATAGTTGTTTTTGATTTTTGCCATCGTATGATCATTTACACTTTGGTTTTTTCTTTTGCTGGTTTCATTCACCGCTATATATGAATTATTATTATCTAAATGTTTATTATTTTGAGCATTAAGCTCACACATTTTATGCTGTGAACTCGCAATAATTGTTTTTTTGTTTTTAACTAATTTATAAAAAAAAAGAAAAGTAATGAATTTCAAGTTAATAGACTGATGCCCGGGTAAAGTGGTCCAATGTGATTCAGAATACGTGTTGCTCTCTCAGCAGTCACGATCCGACTCATCTTCCTTGTATTGATATGACAATAAATTGTTAATTACCATTATTATGTAGTCTTTTAGATCATACTGTATTTTATTATTGACCTCACTGGAGATCAATAATATAAGTTAAATTGTAATTACGTTATATAATTTGCTTATTATTTTTGGACTTTAAATAGATTGCAAATAAAATGTATTATATAAAAAAAGTTCCGGGAGTTTTGGGAGAAAATTATTATTTTCGACGAGAGCAAGCTTTACCAATTTAGAATCAAGGGACATAAGATATGTATCCACCTTAAAAGTCCCAGGAGTTTTGGGAGATTATTTTTTTCCGATGAGAGCATGTTTATCTCCTTTAGAGTAATGGGACGTAAAATTGCATTGTGAAAACCAGACACGAGACTCGGTAAGGGAAATTTGGTGCCTTCTGCATAGCGAGTAATGGTGTAGTCCAAATGAACTTGAAAAGAAATTTGCAGCAAAGTGCGAAAAAATTTTCTATTTTGGTCATTTGTACGTTTTGTTATAATCTATTGTAAGAAATATATTACATGGCTTATGTTGGCGGAGTGCTAAGACACTCTCCTATTAAATCAGGATATTTGGTTCGATCCCTGCCAGAAGATATCTGATGAGGCGATGTGGTGATCTCCGAAACAAGAAGTATCTTCTACTACTTTTCTTTGTTGTATAACAAAACCATTCATAGAAACAAGGGCCTATTGATCAACTCACTAAAATCGTAAAACTAAAATTAATAACACAGGTGGCAAAAACAGTTTCCGCGAGGAGAGTAAATCCTTGCATAACTTTGGGCGCGGGCTAATAGCTTCTTGTTGTTTGAGTTTTTGCATTCTGACATATATGCAAGAATGCTATTCTCAAATAATCAGCGAAGTGATACGGCTAAAGTGCCTAATGTTTGCAATGGAATTTACCGTCATTATTTTCGTTGGTGTTTTGTTTGCAGACCTTTTTCTGCCTAGTATATGTACCATGTTGAATTTATGGAGGGAGCACTTCTCCAACCTGCTGAATAATAGTGGAAATGGAGAATCCGGAGATGGAACTCGAAACTTCAATCGATGACGATGGAAAAGACGTTCCATTACCTGACCATGAAGAAGTTCGAATAGCTATCGCACAACGGATGCTGACGGCTTACCGGCAGAACTAATCAAAGATGGCTGTGAAGAGCTGATAAAGTGCATGCACCAGCTACTTTGCAGAATATGGTCGGATGAAAGCATGCCCGACGATTGGAATTTAAGTGTGCTCTGCAAAATCCGTAAAAAAGGGGGCTCCACAGTCTACACCAATTATCGTGGGATAAGCCTCGTTATTACTGTCAACTGATTGGACCTTATTAGTGTAGTTTTACACCTGGTAAATTAACCATTGACCAGATATTCACCAACGCTCCAAATCTTGGAAAAGACCAGTGAAAATATAATCGGCACCCACCACCTCAGACAGGGTGACTCTTTGCGTGTCATTTCTTCAATTTGATGCTACAGAGAATAATAAGAGCTACAGGGCTGAATAGGGAAGGTGCAATATTCTATTTACTTTTCCTTTTAAATTCGACTAAAATTTCGATTTGTTTATCGTTGTTGCTTCCGAAAGCTTAAGAATGCCTGCGCTAGAATGAATCGTAAGAGTGTCAAAGCAACTGTTGATTGCAAAATTGTATAACAGTGAATAACATTAATCCATTAGACACGTGGTATCGTTATTCACTGATGTATGCACTTTGGAAATCAAAAATTTTTATATAAAAGTAAACCAAATATACATGAGCGTCAAAGAAACCATAGATTTAATTTAACAAACGGCAATCAAGCAAATAAAACTTACAGAAAAAGCAAGGTGTGTGTTCCAGCCGGTGCCATATTCGTAATAATTTGCCTTTCACTGCCTAATGCTTCCAAAAGCACACGCACCGTGCGATCATCTCCACTTGTGACAGCGTGACGTAATTCACGATGCTTTATCATTCGAACTTGTTCACGTGCATCTGCAAATATAGAGAAAAAATTTTTGAATACGCTGTTGAGTTTCGAAAATTTTATTTTACCTAAACTCTGATGTAATTCAATAACTTCATCCAAAAAATAATCGCAGGCATCCAAAGCAGTTTCAGTGCCGGATTTTGGTTTATCAACGAAATTCCATGCCATATTGAAGACGATAGAAATAGATTTTAACCAAATGTGGATGAACCTAACAAAAGGTATAATGAAGGCTTAATTTCTCGTCTTATATTTTACAGGGCACCAACAAAGTAAATTTAGTGTGTCCGGTGAACAGCTGTATAGTAACACTTGTTACTTATTTTTACTAATACCCATTGGAGAGGAAAAAGCCAGTAAAATTTGCAAAGATAGAGCACAATTTGATTTGTCGAGGAAGTTGTGATTCACAATGCATTAGCGCCATTGTCACCGTAGCAACAAAATTGTATCGCAATTATTTGTGGCTTATTTGGTAGACCCTGCTTTCAAATAAATTATAGGAACCTAAATCAGCTTACATTGTATGTGCAATAAATAAAAATATACATAAACACACTGGCGAGCATAAATGAGAGCATGACACATAATTTAAAGGTAGTTTCATTCTCTCTTCGCAGTCGGCTTCATAGCTATCTGACATTAAACGGGTTTCGGTTTTTCGTGCTACCTTCTTCCATTTTGTAAGCAAACAGAATATTTTTTTAATAATTATACCTCTTAATGATAGGATTAATAATGCCTAGGCATGCAAGAAATGCTAATCAATCGAAAAAGAAATTTCGAGAAATCGATAACGGAACGCAGAGTTTACCGGGGTTATGTCTATCCCTATCCGGTCAGCTCATCGACCCTGCAGTTTCTTGGGTGTCCTTATAACCAGAGCCCCGAACTACGAACTTTTCGCATATAGTTAAGAAAATCTAAGACCCTAAGATTCGAAAAAAATGAAAAATGACAATTCATTCCATATCATTTATATATAAGCAAATCCTTTTCTTACTTTTGCCGCCTATGAAATACGGCTTGAAACAAATATTTTAAATCATAGCATCTGCTTAGAAAATAGCCCCAAAATAATTTAAAATTTTGCAAGTTAAATATTTTAAAGTGGCAAGATCAAACATTTCTGAGCAAACAATTCAATATTGTCCACGAAGTTTTAATGGAATTAAGGTCTGAACATTTAATTACCTAGAATTTTTGTGCAGATATCAAATTTGGCACGGTTTTAGCCGTGTGTTTGGGGTAACCGTCGTGCTGGAAAATTACTTCATCCTCGGGATAGGCGCAGTGGTCTACAAAATCGGGTAAATGGCTTTGAAGAATTTGGAGGTAGTCTTACTTCCTCGTTATTCCTATTCCTATTAGTGCTGGAAAATTACTTCATCCTCTGGATAGGCGCTGTGGTCTACAAAATCGGGTAAATAACTTTGAAGAATTTGGAGGTAGTCTTACTTCCTCGTTATTCCATTCGATCACATGATGATTTTAAATCGATACATGAGGTCTGCTAGAAGTATTTTCTTGCTTTATTCTCGTGTAGCCTGTTAATTTTGGTTTCCTCAGACCAAATAACATGTTTCCAATCCTCTGTGGTCCAGTTCTCAAGCGCTTTGCGGAGTATTAGACGCGCCGTGATGTTCTTATCGGACAGAGCTTATTTTTTTTTACTGCTGCTACTAAACCAATTCGGTGAAACGCTCTGCGAGCGATTCATTCACTGACATGCTTATTTATGGCATTCACAGCTTGCCTAGGTGTTTGTACAGTTTTTTTCATCTCCCGTACCATTAAACACGCGCCTGAATCCTTTAACAATCTAGAACGACCTCCAGTACTCGGCATAGAAGCTACATTTCGTCCTTTTTGTATAGTAATCACGTTGCGTTAATTTTCCAGCAAATACTCTGCTTGTGTGTCCACTTTCAATTGTACCCACAATACTATTTTCAGCGTCCTTGTTGATTTTCATAATATTTTTAATTATTTAATACTATTCCTGATATCAAACAATAAATATTTACCTCACTTCTCAAAACTGCAACGTCAGCAAAAATGACAAGCTACCCGCCAAATGTAACGGCAAATGTAGAGTTAATGTGAAACATATGACTCATTTTGATTTCACTTATTCAAAGCTCAGTTTTGTTTATCGAGTTATCTTATGTATTAAATTGTGATGACGACGTTTCTTATTGAATACGTTATTCTTTTCCTAATATAACAAGAAAATAATTCTGAAAATTTCATAAAATTTCGTTCATCATTGATCATTTTATGACACTTTTAGTAAAAATATAGTCAACATGCACTCACTTTTGCTCGCCAGTGTATGTATTATATTATTATTTTATGCCTGCAACATTCCTAACTTCCAAGTTCTCAAAGAAGGTTATGTGATGTGTAGATGATGATTTCACTCCACTGCAACCACATTTTCATTTAACAAATATCTTTAATATTTAATTGGTTCGCTGATATCATTTTGACTACCATTCACCTGGAAGCGGCCAGAAGCAGCGCACGACTTCCGGTCTTAGACCAAGTATTCCCTGGCTAGCCCACAAACATCCGTTTGGAGGCGAGCTAAGAATTTGGGGCCCACCACATTTTGATGACGACCCCGCAACTGTTTTAAGGATTACGATTTGAGGGCATGGAAGGCCCACTTGGATGAAGACCTAATAAAATGGCTGACATTACCGCCGTCCAAGAAGTGCGATGGACGGGACAAGGACGGACGAAGGTGAGCGCAAATTTGGGGTCGGATTCGTGGTGAGAAAAATACTCAGTCATTGAGTACTGACATTCACTTCGGTTGATGAACGTCTCGCCACAATCCGCATCAAAATGGTCGGTTGAAAGTATGCCCGTCTGCTCTGTCCAATTTACAAAAAGGGCGATCCCACAGCCTGCGCAAATTACCGTCAAGCGTTTATTATGAAAGACTAAAGCCAACCGTAAACAAACTTCTTGCACTTTATCAGTGTGGCTTTAGACCTGGTAAGTCAACCATTGAACAGATATTCACCATGCGCCAGCTCGTAAAAATGCCCATAAAAAAAATCGAAAAACTTATACGCCTGTGTAAACTGACGCTAGACAACACAAGAAGCGCAGTCAAAATTGGGAAGGACCTCTCCGAGCCGTTTCAAACCAAACGAGTTTTCAGACAGAGTGAATCTTTACTGTGTGATTTCTTTAACTTGATGCTGGAGAAAATAATAAAAGCTGCAGAGCTACTGGCGTATACCAATGATATTGATATCTCTAGACTGAATAAAGAAGCGAAAAAAATGGGTTTGTTAGTGAACGGAGACAAGACGAATATCTCCTGCCACCAAACAAGCAGTTATCACATTCGCGACTGTTCACAGTCATTACTTCATGGTTGTAAATAATTTCGTCTATATATGGACCGTTCATCAAGGAACCAACATTAACACCGATAATAACGTCAGTCTTGAAATCCAACGCAGAATACAACACAGAATCACTCTTGCCAACAGGAGCTCATTTGGACTGACTAGGCAATTAAAAAGTAAATTCCTCTCTCGGAGAATAAAAACCAAGCTCTACAAGTCGCTCATAATAGCATATGGCGTAGAAACGTGGACGATGTCGACATCTGATGAGTCGGCACTGGGAGTCTTCGAGAGAAAAGTTTTGCGAACGACTTATGGTTCTTTGTGAATTGGCAACAGCGAATACCGCAGACGATTGAACGATGAGCTATACGAGTTATACGATGATATTAACATAATTCAGCGAATTAAGACGGCGGCTACGCTGGCTAGGCCTTGTCGTTCGCATGAATAAAAGCGCTTCAGCTTTGAAAGAATTTGTTACAGTACCCGCTGGTGAAAGATTAAGATATTTCCAAATGGTGCCAAAAAGCAAAAAGAATGGCATTTTATGAAGAGTTATAACGCGTAAGCGATACTAACACCAATATTGAAGAAGCTTCAGTAACAATTGTTTTCGCCCAATATGTTACCGAGCAGGACATTGTTATAGCCTATTTCCACCAAGCACTTAAATGCATTTAAGCCCTCTGTTAAGTAAATGAAATGTCAAACGTTTCCACCGAAAGTGAGTTAACTCAAACAGCTGATTTTTGTTTACATTTGCAGTTTACAAAATTTGCCACAACTATAGAAATCATGAATTCAAGAGACCACATTCATTTTATTTGGCTATTTCTGCAATCTTAAGACTTGCAAGTGCAGATTATTTCTGCACGGACAAACGTTGCTGAAACGAAAATGTTTTTATGCATGTTTCCATTTTCATATTTGTTTGTTTGTTCCCTCAAATTATTTGTTTTGCGCAATCAGCTGATAGCTACCAGAGCCACGTATATTTTTATGTTGAGGGGATCGTTTGATATTTCACAATTGTTTTTTGTTTGTTTCTTATAGTTTTTTTTTGAAGGCGGAGAAGCATTCTCTTCGCCAATTACTTAATATAGGTATTTATATTAAAACTAATGCAAAAAAAGGAATTTTTATACAAAAACTTTCACCATGCAAAATAAAAATCTCGCCCCTCATTAAATCCGAAGATACACGACTCTGGCAGGGAGTACATCGAAACTTCCGAAATGATTACATCATTAGTCACAGCATCGAATGTTAACATAACATTTTCTGTTAAATTGCCGAAAGTGAGTTAACTCACTTTGAACAGTGAGTTAACACACTTTTATACAACAACAAACACATGGGAATTACCGCATTTAAATGCGATGTTTAAATACATTTAAGCTAAAATGCATTTAACGTCCGGTGGAAATAGGCTATTAGACCTCAGTTTTTAATTTAATAAATTCATTATCAAGGTTTCAACACTTAATGTGACCAATGCTGACTGGATTTACTTGTTTTCCTGTGATAACTGCCAAAACTGACTAGAACTTATGAAAGGATGTCAAATAGCTTTGCTTAAAGCACAGTACCGCACTGTAACAAGTTGTACCAAATTTTAACTTGAATTTTAATTAATAAACAATAAAAAAACTGTTTATAACTTTCAAAAAAGTTTTTAGTGCATTGAACTATTTATAAAAAATATTGAAGTGTTAAAAATTAACAGAATCCCTCGCTTCGTTCACAGTTTTATTAAATTGCATCGTTGCAATTTCCAAATAACTTTTTACATCAGAGCGTGTAACGCCGCAGCATAGCCTTTTTTTTGTTGAATATCGAC